CCACCTGCGACAGCTGCCGCCACCCGGAACCTGGGAGGGCTGTGGTGTTGTGCAAACACTGCCCTCAGAGCCCCCGGAAGGCCCAAGACGGAGAGGGGCTCACTGCGGGCCACCTGCCGGGAGGGGATAGAGAGAGGCAGAAAGAAAAACGGAAACTGCCAATCGAGTTCTTCAGACTTCAGCATAAAATAAGAGTAAATCTAAACCACACAATTCCATCTGCACGTTTCTTGTTTTAATCAGGCCTGTGAGCAATGTATCTTAATTTTCTTGTGCTGGTGATTTCTATCTGCACAAATACTTGGAGTGACCTTCTTTTAAAATATCCCACTCTGTAGTATATGAAAATCCTTACCCTCTTCTTATAGATGGTTTATCAAAAACGACTCAAGAAAAAGTTGAGAATATTTCAGGTAATTGGGTGAATGGCATATTTTCAGCCACATGATATTTTTTAAATTCATTCCTGGAATTTTCCCGAGAAGTGACAAGAATTTCTTTGGTTGGCAAGCAACAGCACAAAAGATAACTTTACTCGTTTTCCCACAATTCTGCCCTGCTTGCTACATTACATAAATTGGACATAGTGCAGACACAAACGTCATTTTTCCAGAGACTCTTGCACTGAGAAGGGCTTTGTCTCCACCTGGTGGACGCTCATGGGATTGCACTGTCAGCGGTAATTCTCTGAATTGTAAATAGTCCCAAACTGGAAACCTAGAGAATATATAATGGGATATAGCAATAAAAGTGAAAAATACAACCACATACAGATAATATCACAAATGCAATTTTGCATAAGGTGAATGAATATATAACATTTTTCATTCTATACTATTGAAAATCAAGATAATAGTTACCATGTTCCTTTTTTTTTTTTTTTTTAATGAATTCTTTTCATTGGAAAGGCAGACTTACCAAAAGGAGGAGACACGGAATAAATTTCCATCCACTGGCTCACTTCTCAAATGGCCGCAACAGCCACAGCTGAACCAATCTGAAGCCAGGAACCAGGAGCTTCTTCCAAGTCTCCAGCATGATGCAGGGTCCCAAACACTTGGACTTCCTGCGCAGCTTTCCCAGGAAACATTCAGGGAGTTGGATGGGAAGCACGGCAGCTGGGACATGAACTGGCGCCCAAGTGGGATGCCGGAGCTTGGAAGTGGAAGATTAGCAGGTTGAGCCATTGCTCCAGCCACTATCATTTTCCTTTAGATATTTCTTTCAATTATGAAAGTTTTCTCCAAGGGCCCGGTGCAATAGCCTAGTGGCTAAATCCTTGCCTTGCATACTCAAGGATCCCATATGGGCACTGCTCGGTATCCCGGCAGCCCCGCTTCCCATCCAGCTCCCTGCTTGCGGCCTGGGAAAGCAGTCAAGGACAGCCAAAGCCTTGGGACCTGCACCCGCGTGGGAGATCCAGCAGCTGGAGGATCTCTGTCTCTCCTCTTTATAAATCTGCCTTTCCAATAAAAATAAATACATTTTTTAAAGTTTCTTCTAAACATTCTTGAAAATATTTGTATTTAAAAACATTTTTTAAGGATTTTTTAAAAAAAATTTTGTTTGAAAGGAGAAACACAAGGAGACCCTCAGTCTGCTGGTTCACTCCCCAAATGGCAGCAGCCAGAACTTAGTTGATCTGGAGCCAGGAGCCAGGAGCCTCCAATGGGTCTCCCACGCGGGTGCAGGGTCCCAAGGCTTTGGGCCGTCCTCGACTGCTTTCCCAGGCCACAAGCAGGGAGCTGGATGGGAAGTGGAGTTGCCGGGATTCAAATGAACAGGTGCCCATGTAGGAAGCTGGCGCCACAGGCAGAATCTTAGCCTACTAAGCCATGATGTTGGATCACATGATCTCCTGTTATACTCAAGAACGGAGGGAGGGGTCACTATGGTGACACAGTGTTACACTGGGGCCTGTGACGCAGACATTCCACAGAGGGTCTGTGTCCTGCTGCCTCCACTTTCTTTGTTTTCCTTCTTTTTTAAGATTTATTTTTATTGTAAAGTCAGATATACAGAGAGGAAGATCTTCCGCCCGTTGATTCACTCCCCAAACAGCTGCAACAGCTGGAGCCGAGCCAATCCGAAGCCAGGAGCCTCTTCTGGGTCTCCCATGCGGGTGCAGGGTCCCAAAGCTTTGGGCTGTCCTCCACTGCTTTCCCAGACCACAGGCAGGGAGCTGGATGGGAAGCAGGGCTGCTGGGATTAGAACCGGCACCCATATGGGATCCCGGTTCATGTGAGACAGAGACTTTAGCTGCTAGGCTACGGCGCTGGACCCTGCTGCCCTGCTTCCCATCCAGCTCCCTGCCTGTGGTCTGGGAAAGCAGTGTACGATGGCTCAGGTGTCTGGAACGCTGCTCCCTATGCGGGAGACCCAGAGGAGGCTCCTGACACCTGGCTGCGGCCATCCGAGGTGTAAGCCAGGGAAGGGCTCTAGAACTCTTTCAAATAAGTACAGAAATTTAATAAGAGAAGCAGCAGAGGGAGCAGGAAAACATGGAACAAACTTAGTTTATAGCAACTTTTTTTTTTTAAAAAAAAGGTATGCCACTGTTCGAGATTTTCACTTACTTTTGCTAGTTTTTCTAGCTTTAGCTATCCTGGTCTCTATGAAATAGTAATTCATTATATATGCTAACAATGCAAAGTACATGATAAAATGCACCCAAATGGACAATTTGCTTAATAGCCGCGTGGAGAACGTACAAAAATGCAAGTATAGAACAATCCTTCTCCTCTGGTCTCTTCGTGACTTTCAGTCCCATTTCCCAAGCCCGCCCCGAGGCAGCGCCTTCGTCCCGGCATCATCAGCTTTGGCCTCACGTCACTCATCTCACTGCTTTTCCTCCGTCGGTCGCTTTCTGGAAACATCTGTTCACGTCCTCCCTGGTAGCCACGGAGCTGTGCTCTCGGCAGCTCTAAGTTTCTTATCTGTGCTCACACACGTCAAGCGTGCGTAACAGCAATTTGGTGAAAAGCTGATAGATTCAGTGACGATCCCACGAGGTGAGTTGGAAACCCCTGTTGCCTGGTGGCACCGGCCGTGCCGTGCTGCGCTGCGTTGCCCGTGTGCCTGCGGCAGATGCTAACACGGCTACCGGCGACCGAGTTACAGCCAGTGACTGCCCCTGGCTCTTGCCTGTATTAAACCAAAACAGAAAAGGCAGCGCGCGGTGCTGTCCCTGCAGCCGCTTCAGACGTCCTGTGCAGCTCTGCCCGATGGCGCCGAGAGGCCCAGAGACAGACCCGTACCATCCAGCTTAAGTAAACCTACATTTTCCCCAAAAGGCAATTCTAATGACTTATGACATTGTAAGAATGCGTGCCTCTGTTGACGCGTCTGTATCAAGTCCTTCATCCAATAAACATTTTACAAGTATGTCCGTCTAGCTGGTAGTTGTAAATAGCGTGTCTGCTCGCAAATTTCCTCTTTGTTTTTTGACCAGTTTCACAGCCGTGTTTGCAGCTGTAATTCTGTGCGGATCTATCCTGACAATGGCCAAGCTTCTAGATCCACCGTTTCCTCAGAAGTTGAAAATTTTGGATCACTGTTTCTTCAAGTATTGTTTTTTTCTTCCTGTTCTACTTTTCCTTTTATCACTTGGGATCTCCAATTACACAAAGGACACGGTGGCTCTGTTTTCATTTCGTTCTTCCATCTTTTCTGGTCTGAATTTCATGTTTAACGTCTGAATGATAGACTTATTTGAAAGGCAGAGTCACCAAGAGGGAGAGGGAGAGAGCCTCCACGTGCGGGCTCACTCCCAATCGGTTGCATTAGCCAGGGCTGAGCCTTGCCAAAGCCAGGATCTGGGGTTCATGCTGCTTTCCCACGGGGTGGCAGCGGCCCAAGCACTCAGGCCCTCTCCCACTGCCTTCCATGTGAATTTGCAGGCCGCTGGGTCCAAAGTGGGGCAGCAGGGGTTCAAGTCAGCTCGCATGAGCTTCTAGCACTACAAGGAGGAAATAATTTGCATACATGGTTTTGGCAAACAGAAGATCTGCACACACCTATTCCCTTAATCCTAATTATAAATCAGCTAGGTAAAGATCGGGTTATAGAGGACAGGAGTGTGGCGTAACAGATTAAGCAGCTACCTCCGAGGGAGGCATCCCACGTGGGTACCAGCTCTAACACACTTGTTGCTGAGCCCAAGTACAAAGCGGGTTAGTCATGCGGGAGGTGCAGCTGCAGTCCCAGGCTCCTGTGGCCGCCGGGGGACTGACGGAGATGAAGGGTCTCCACTGCCCTCTCCTCTCTCCCCGACTCTGCCCTTCAAATAAAATTAGTACATCTTCTTTTTGTTTTTTTAAAGTCAGTTGCACAGTCTAGCAGACACTATTAAATATGAGAAAATGAATAATCAGCCTATGACATCATGTGTAGAAAAACAGATGAGAATGACAGCGTCTTTGCTAGGATCTTCACTGCTCCAAAGTGGAAACATAGGCTACTTGGAAAGAAACTGGTTTTTGTCATTTTTGTTTTTTAAGATTTTTAAAATATTTATTGGAAAGGCAGAACAGAGAACTTCGGTCCACTGGTTTCACTCCCTAAGTGACCACAATGGCCAGAGCTGCACCAATCCAAAGCCAGGAGCCAGGAGCTTCTTCCGGGTCTCCCACACGGGTGCAGGGTCCCAAGACTTTGGGCCGTCCTAGACTGCTTTCCCAGGCCACAAGCAGGGAGCTGGATGGGAAGTGGAGCTGCCGGGATTAGAACCAGCTCCCATATGGGATCCCAGCACATGCAAAGCGAGGATTTAGCTACTGAGCCACAGCATCAGGCCCAAGAATCTGTTTTTGAAAAGGTTTAAAAAGCAGACAAACTGTTAACTTACTTTCTTTATTGCATTAAAATAACACTATATATAAAACAGTAATCTCTATACAGAGGTATTTGATGAACCATAATATACATAGTTATCTTTATAGAGTAGGGCTGAATGTTACAATGATTATAACATAAAGTTACATTGTAATGTCCTCCATGAGCCATTCATTTCTCCATTTTTGCTCGAAGTCTTCGCTTTAGAATCTGGTGGTCACTCTCCTTCAATCCTTGGTCCATTAAAATCTGAAATCAGTAATTTCACAGTCTCAGCAAACGTAAGTGAAAAACAAAAAAAAGCTAGTTTGAAACAGATCATAAGCTCATCCACTTAATTAATAACATAAACAAGCATTTTTTTGTCCTCAGACACCAGAGGCAAACCATTTCCTATAAAAATGCATGCCTAAAAAAGTAATCGATTTAGTAAAATATCTAGCTGCACAATTCTAAAATTAAAAAATAACCTACAATCTGTATTAAATTCCAGACATGGATAGTTTGAAACAATTACCAGAAAGTTGGAGGCAATTGCCTCAAATCATTTTTTTTTAAGATTTATTTTTATTGGGGCCCGCGCGGTGGCACAAGTGGTTAAGGTCCTCACCTTGCACGCCCGGGATCCCATATGGGCGCTGGTTCTATCCCGCCAGCCCCGCTTCCAGCTCCCTGCCTGTGGCCTGGGAAAGCAGTCGAGGACGGCCCAAAGCTTTGGGACCCTGCACCCGCGTGGGAGACCCGGAAGAGGCTCCTGGCTTCGGACTGGCATAGCATCGGCCGTTGCGCTCACTTGGGGAGTGAACCATCGGAATGAAGATCTTCCTCTCTGTCTCTCCTCTCTGTATATCCGCCTTTCCAATAAAAAAAATATTAAAAATAAATATTTTAAAAAAAAAAAGATTTATTTTTATTATTTTTTACTGGAAAGGCAGATATACAGAGAGGAGAGACAGAGAGGAAGATCTTCCGTCCGATGATTCACTCCCCAAGTGAGCGCAACGGCCAATGCTATGCCGATCCAAAGCCAGGATCCAGGAACTTCTTCCGGGTCTCCCACACGGGTGCAGGGTCCCAAGGCTTTGGGCCGTCCTCGACTGCTTTCCCAGGCCACAGGCAGGGAGCTGGAAGCGGGGCTGGCGGGATAGAACCGGCGCCCATATGGGATCCCGGGCGTGCAAGGCGAGGACCTTAACCACTGCGCCACCGCACCGGGCCCGTCTCAAATCATTTTTAAGAAATGGATCTTCCACCGTGGCAATGAGTATGTAACTTACAAAGTACAGTATTCTGCCACTAAGAAATAACTCTCAGCCAAGAACTGAAATTACATACTAATCGCACAGACGGTAACTAGCAGGACAGCCCCAATGTCCTAAGTGACTCTAACTCTGTGTCTTCAAGCATCAATCTAACATCTGGCAGTTCCTGCAGAAAAAAACAAACAAAAAGTCTCTCTTGGCTCTTCTTGACCACTTCCTTTTGAATATTTTTTATTCTTTAATTACTTTTCTGCCTTTACTTTCATCCACTAAGCAAACAAGAGAATTACAGAAAAGTTTGAGCATTCCTTCTAATGACAGAAGGTCCTGCGTGAAGAGGAGGAGCCATACAGGAGGGCGACAACCATCTCCCTTGCAGAACCTGGAGGGCTCTCGGCCAGGGCGCGAGGACACAGCCACATGTCAGCTGCATCTTCTTACCAGGCGCATCTGGGCCCACATTTATACAAGGTTCATGATAAAGATAAAAAAAATTAATGGTAGATGCAAAAAAATTACAAAATAGCAACAACTTTACTAATGAAAATATATTCCTATGATAAACTGTCAAATACAAAAAGCCTGACACTTGTTTACACTGATGAGGTGTCTATGTGTCATTATGATAAAGGTGCATCGCCAGCACTGGCTGTCTTAAGAAATATGGTCTACACAGTAGAGATTCAAATCATCAGTACCACTAACATTAGGAATTCTTGAGAAAACAAAACAAAAAAAAAAAACAGGAAGTTTATACTGATGAAAAGTGAAACGCCAGCTCACCACTTGGCCAGATATATCCAGAGGCGAGGAGATTTCATTTGTGTATAATTTCCGTTTGGCTCGTTTGGGTCGCGACACATTTTCTTTACTTGCCTCTACATTTGAGAGGTTTGAAGAGCTCATTGTTTCAATGATCTTCTTTGCTATAAAATAAAAATATTAATTTCTGAATTAAATTATTTTGTTATTGCAAAGCTTGAAGTCCTTAATAAAGAAACAACAGATACAAATTCAAAGAAAAATACTATAATATGAACTGGTATTAGGACATAAACAGAGAATTCACAAACAGGAAAAATTAAATGCCTAAAAAATGCATGGAACAATAGCAAAGGAAACAAAAAGATAAACGATATACATATATAAATTTAAAGATTTGTCTATTTATTTGAAAGAGTTACAAACACAGGGAGAGACAGATCTTCCATCTGGTGGTTCACTCCTCAAATGGTTGCAGTGATGAGGGCTGGGCCAGGCCAAAGCCAGGAGTCAGGGGCTTTGTCCAGTCTGCATGTGCACGGCAGCAGTCCACACACTGGCCATTACTGGGAACTGGATTCAAACTGGAGTAGTTAGACATGAACCAGAACATACATGGCATGGAAGCACGGCGGGGGGCAGATTAACCCCATGTATAAACCTGGCCCAACAAAATACAACTTATCTAATGTTTCATCATCTTAAAACGACATGATAATTTGTAACACAATCATCTTTAATTCGTTTGTCACTTGAAAGAGGTTTCTGCAACAGTAAACTCATAACCAGTCAACTATGCACAATTTAAAATAGTAAGGTACTAGATGTACCTATTCATGTGTGAAGGTGTCCAGTGAACATCGGGGATGGTGTGATGGCTTAGTTGCCCAATCCTCTGCCTGCAAGTGCCAGCACCCTACATGGGCACCAGTTCATGTCCTGGTTGCTCTCTGCTGAAGGCCTGGGAGAGCAGTGGAGAGGGCTCCGGTCGTTAGGCCCTTGCACCCACCCGGGAGACCTGGAACAGCTCAGCTGCTGCCATTGTGGCCTCTAGGGAATGAATCAGCCCGGCAGATCCGTCTCTCCCTCTTGCTGTAACTCTGCCTTTCAAATAAAAGTCAAACAAATCCTTAAGAAAAAAGAGAAGGGTTTGCTACGAATACAGTATGTTTTGTCAAACTGTATTGAATCTGTCAGGCATACTCTGATAGTTTTGACGCTCCGTATCTAAAAGTTCATGCCTGTGGTCCTGCTGAACTATGATCATTTTGCTGTTGGTTCAGCCATTTAGTGGGGCTGAGTCTCTGGCTATAATTGAACATGAGAATGTGTTATCTCACAAAAAATTTTTAATTAAGAAAGGACAGCCAAGAGGCCTCACAAATCTGAATCCCCCAAACTGTGGATGAACACGAAGCTGACTTGTAGGAACACATCAGGGTGTTTTCAATCTTCACCGGAAAGAGTGACACTGACTAGCTCAAAACAGGTTCCAGATGACACCATATTCCTTCTAATGATGACATATTTTTGGAACTTTAGACTTTCACAAGCAAATCTTTCCATGGTCCTTTCACCTTAGGTTCTAATGGTCAGAGTGATTTTTGTAAATAACCGTACAAAGAAAATGATTATTCAAAGTTAAAGGGCACCTAAGCAAGACGTTTGAGAAGCTCTGGGTCGTTTTTCATAGCAAATATTAATCACACAATCCGTTTCACTGAGTTAACTGTCTCCCACTGCCAGGCCCTTTCCCTACCCTGCCCATTCTCCCCACCCCTGGTGTCCAGTTCATACTAGTGCTCCACTCGTCTAATCCCCAAAACACCTCATCGTCCACGCTCCCCCGCGAAGGGCTTTCCACCTGCCACGAGCAGGACACCTACTGCTGCCTCAAACTGCATGCACACTCCTGTCCTTTACTGGGTCTCCGCAGGTGGTAAACGCCTTTCCCCTGCACTGTCAGCAAACACCTGGCTATTTCATCATTTCAACTACTTCTTCTCATTGTACACAATGCAGGACCAGGCCTGTTTAAAGTGCGATATCCGCTAAGCAGCTGTTGAGGCTATGTGCTCATGAGAGATGAGAATGTACTCTACATCTCATGGAAAGATCACCATGCATTACAAACCTTTTGACTGAAGAATTGTTGGAGAACGCTGTAAGGAGTCTCCAAATTTCTGAAATGTTCCTTCTTTTTTCTTAGTGGTCAAGTTTACATCTATCGTGGGTGCCTGACTCCGTAAAGAGTATGTTTTCTTAGATGATGGACGTATGGAAACCTAATAAACGAAGAGTTTTTGTTACTGTTGAGGAGGAATGCCAGAGGAAACAAGTGATGGCTGCAGGTGAATTAAAGAGGCCACAGATAGGTTATGAATTCTCGTGTAGAAACGCAAGAGGAGCCTCACCGGGCACGTATGACATCAGCAGTGCCCGTATTGATCAAATGCTTTAGGTTCCTTCCCAAGCAGAGACAGCCCCCAGGAGAGGGAAGATAACTGAGTTATACCGGGCACACCTGGCATTCTAGATAAGTACTGATCAGAATTTGCTATCTTTATTTATCTCCTGGTTTAAATATACATAAGTTAAAGTTACAGAAATGTTCTTGACAATGAAGACAAACCTTCTGTTCTTTTTTGATGGAAGAATTTCTATGCTCTGAAACAGGGAAGTCCAAATTACTTCTGGGAGTAGCATTCTTCTTATTCTCACATTTCACAAAGTCCTACAAATAATGAATGAGACCAAGGGTTAACTTCCTGACAAAGTGCTGCTTCTCTAGACTCAGAAAAGGAAATCCATAAAATACTACACATGTATTGCCATTTAAAATAGTGGTTTGTAATTGAGGGTGATTTTGACCTCAGGTGACACGAGGAATGTCTAGAAATACTTTGATTTGCCTGGAACAGTAAGCTGTTCTTGGCCACCACTGGGCAGAGGCTAAGGTTACCCATGCAATGAGCACCCCCGCCCCCTAGGTATCCATGCCAAAGTGTCAATTGTGTTGAAGCTTAGCAGTCCCGTGAGAAGATGGGAATTTTTCACATACATCATAAATAGTACCTGAGAAGTATAAAAGGCATAACGTGTTTTATTTCAGATTCATCTTTCAAATACTACATAGCAATACACCTAAAATTCCCAAATTTTCTAGCATCTATGTCCAGGATTTCTTATTTACATTTGACTATCAAAAGCAAAACTCAAAACTCCAGTGGATATACAGGCACATGTGCAAATCAGGAAATACTATAATCTTTCTTCTGTACCACCTAGGCATGACATCTTACTCAGTTATTTTCTCACATATCCTCAACAAAGCAAGCTCTTTTATATGCAGAGTGAAAGGTAACCTATTTGAATATTTCCATTATTTTGAAAAGGAGCAAACTGAGCAGCATGAAGCTGATATGACTTGTCAAATCTGCATGGCTAGTGTAGCGCACGGGGGCAGCCCTATAACCAAAGAGCCACGCTAAGGAGGACGAAGTAGTTCCTGGCCTGCAACTATAGAAAAGCACAAATCGTAACAGAGGCTGATTGAACAAGCATTTCCCAAAACTTGCTACAATCACAGAGACCTAAAATCTTAGTTTATTGACAAAAACTATTACTCAAGCAAACATAGCAATTCTGTTTTCTTTTTTTAAAATTTCTATATCAATCCTTTTGAACAGGACCAATTTACAAAAACAGCTCTGCAACAAAATATATCATCACTGGGCCTTCAGTCTAAATGAAACAAATAATATGCTATAAATTTTAATATTCATAGCTTTTTGTCTCAGTATGATTAAACTAGAGAGATATGCTTTAAAGGTATTGCCATAACTGGGGCCAGCAAGGGGGCATAGCCAGCACCTGCCATGCCAGCATCCCACATGGGTGCTGGTTTGACTACTGACTGCTGTATTTGGGTCCAGCTCTCACTACTGCATCTGGAAAGGCAGCATGGTTCAAGCGCTTATGCCCCCCACCCATGTGGAAGATTCCAGTCAAACTCCAGGCTCCCGGCGCCAGCCTGGTCCAGCCCTGACAATGTGGCCGTTCAAGAAATAAACCAGTGGATAAAATCTCTCTCTCTCTGGAACCGTTTCAAATAAATAAATCTTGAATAAGAAAAAAAAAAGACCATAAATGAATATGCTGGTCTATGAGAGCAGGGCTTATCAACACGAAGATAGGGCAGCAAAGCTCAACTATGTTGTCTGACTGAGCTCAATAAGAATTATTTGTTAATTTTACCCATCAGATAAGCAATTTATTACCTCCTCCATTTCATTGCTCTTCCTCTTCCGAGCCTTGGAAATCTTAACTGTCACTGGTGTAGCACAACCAGCGTGCTTCACCGCCATTCTGTTGGGATGCAGAGGTGTGAACTGAATCTCTAACTCAGGCTTTGGGAATCGAGTGCTTTGATCATTTTCTGATGATACTTCACAAGAGTCAAGAACTACCGATCCATCCTAAAACATAATTGAAAAGGAAAAAAATTAGCTGTAGAATATGAATTTACTAACCACAAAAACACAAATCCTTTCAAAGAACTATTCCTAGCAATAAGCCAGTCAAGATTAAAAAGTGTGCAAGCCTATTGCAAGGCTAAAAGATGGGAGTTATCACTCACCCTCTCCAGGCTCGCCCATGATAGGTCAAAACTGGGAGAAACTTAGATCTCATTTCTCAAAGGTAAACCATTCTAAGAATTATCTAGAGAATTTCTTCAAAAGATTATTGGACTCGGGCCCGGCGGCGTGGCCTAGCAGCTAAAGTCCTCGCCTTGAACAAGCCGGAATCCCATATGGGCACCACTTCTAATCCCAGCAGCTCTGCTTCCCATCCAGCTCCCTGCTTGTGGCCTGGGAAAGCAGTCTAGGACAGCCCAAAGCCTTGGGACCCTGCACCCATGTGGGAGACCTGGAAGAAGTTCCTGGATCCTGGCTTTGGATCGGCATAGCATCGGCTGTTGCGCTCACTTGGGGAGTGAATCATCGGACGGAAGATCTTCCTCTCTGTCTCTCCTCCTCTCTGTATATCTGACTTTCCAATAAATAAAATAAATCTTTTAAAAAACAAAGATTATTGCACTCTACCACAAATCTATCAGATCGGAAATCTCTAAAAACAGTCCAGGACTTTGAACATGCACTACAGTTATGCACATTTAAAGCCAGTTGCATATTCATTGTTGGTGTTGCCACCTAGAGATGGAGTCTTGGCTGTATTAGCAAATTTTCATAGAATGTAGTAGAAATAATTTGATGGTCCTCAGGCTGTCTTTCCTTTCTCTGGGAATGCTAAGGTTCGGGACACTGCCCGATGCCCCATCTTAGAATCCTGCCACTGTACGAGGAGACACCATGCCCACAGAAGTCACAAGCTCAGTACAGTGGAATATGAATGAGTCATTTTGTGTTTTCAGCCAAGTTCGGCATGCTGAGTTTATGAAGGTGAAAATGGAAGACAGCATTATAATAAGATTCTCCAAAACTCTGAAACATACAGCAACTTCTAGAATTACTAATGGGAAATTGAAATTTAAAAAATTTAGGAAAATACATACTTAGGGTTAAAAAAAAATTTACGATGTATGACTTCATGCAAATGAGAATCAAACCTTGTTTACAGATTAAAAAACTTTACAGATTCATGCTGAGATTTTCCACAAGCTTTACAGTTTATATTAGTCAATGCTAATTACTTGAAACTACCTAGAACAATCAAGGAAAGGCCAGAAAAAAGGAATGGCTCATGTTATCTTTGCATATGCAAGTATCCTTCTCTTCCCTTCTCCCTCCCTCACAGCCTCTCTTCGTTTTTATGATCCAGTTTGCCATCGACACATCTGTCTTATTAGATTCTCATTCCTTGATGACTGCACATCCTCACTTCCAAACAGGAAGTGCTCCCAATAATCATGGTGAATAATTATTAAAGTAATTTTACCTCAAAAGCTTTTAGTAACATAGAGCTAATTTGTGTCTAATGAGAACCTCTGTACACTTCAAGGTTATTCACAGAACTCTAAATTCAACATAAATCAAGCGAATTCTCAGTGAGTTACAGAAGGTTGATGATAGAGTTATAACATACAATTTCAAGACACAGTAGCAAACAGTGTTTTAGGGGATGCTGCTGCGGCCAGTAGGCACGGTTGATGCACCAGTTCCCCTAGAGGCACCAGTTCAAGTCGCAGCTCCTCCTCTTCCAACCCAGCTCCCTGGTATGCAGCTGGGAAAGCAGTGGATGGTCCAGGGCTTGGATGTCTGCAGTTGGGCATCTGTGGGTGACCCAGAGCTCCTGGCTCTGGGCTGTGGACTGGCCCAGCAATGGCCACTGCAGCCATTTGGGCAATAAACCAGAGGATGGAAGATCTCTCTCTCTCCTTTGTTCTCTCCTTCTATAACTCTGCCTTTCAAATAAATATAAATCTAAAAATAATCAAAATAAAAGTAGAAGACAATGTTTTATTAAAGAAACTCTTTACAGTGAGTAATCACTTTTATCTTTGGTGGGATTTTCAATGACTGATCATCAAATTCATTCACACTAACAGATCTGTTTCTCAGAGAAGATTAACTTTGCTTGGTGATCTAGTTTCCCAGAAGAACTTCACCTTTCCTCGGAAATCTCTTCGCACAACCAACTGTGCAGTAAGCAGCCTCAAACAATAAACTCCAATACGCGTGCAAGCATTCATTAGTGCTGAGTAAATAACTCAAAAGCAGACAGTGCCACCTGACACTCACCTCTGCTGCAGTCCCAGAAACTTTAAAACCTGTTGACTGAGGTTCAGTTTCAACTTTGTAAGGATCAGCTGAACTATCTGTGGGCATGGTATCCACGATTTGATTCTCCTAAAGTACAGAAATTCAAAGCAACAAGCTACTGTTAACCTGAAAATACATTAAAAGCAGTTCACATAAAGAATATCAAATCTGGGCCTGGAGCAATGGCTCAAGTGGCCAATCCTCCACCATCAGGCGCTAGGATCACATATGTTCATGTCACGCCAGCTCCACTTCCTATGTAATTCCCTGCTTGTGGCATGAGAAAGCAACACAGGACAGCCCAAACCCTTGGGACCCTACACCTGTATGGGAGACACAAAAGAAATTCCTGGTTCCTGGCTTTGGATCAGCTCAGTTCCAGCCATTATGGTCACTTGAGGAGTAAATCAGTGGATGAAAGATCTTTCTCTCCATCTCTCCTATTCTCTGTAAATCTGCCTTTCCAATAAAAATAAATAAATCTTTAAATAAATATATATTGACAAATTCACTGCTTTCCCAGGTCACAAGCAGGGAGTTGGATGGGAAGTGGGGTCAATAGGAATAGAACCTGCATCCATATGGCATTTTGGTGCATGCAAGGTGAGGACTTTAGCCACTAGGCTACCGTGCTGGGCCCTGGAATTTGACTCTTAACAATTGCCTTTGATAATACCATTTTGAAACCTACAAGCTTTTTGGGAACTCAACTAAAGCAGCAGGGTAAAAAAGACCATAATGACAAGTAAATCTTTCTCATAGGACAGTCTTCACCATAGTTTCTGTCAGTTGACAAATTACAAGGTAACTCTTACCAGTCATTAAAATCAAGTGAAATGTACCTCTAATGCCAGCTAGGCAGAACTACCAAAAAAGACAGATCCTACTGATTTATTCATAATGAGAAAACAACTTGTATGTACTTACTTTAGTGAAAAGTTACTGTTTCATAATGCCTGGATTAATTTCCTAATTCTGTTACAAATATGTTATTATCCATTTTAGATAAAGTTCAGAAACGTTCAGCAGTTTTCCCCTAAACCTGGCCAAGCCGCTTGGCCGAGAGCTGGTACCTAGTTTTTCTGCCTTTCTGCTCTTTGTTGCTTACATGATACTGCTCCTTTTGGAGACGCAATCTCAGTATCTCTCAGCTCTCAGTATCTTTCAGTCTTTCAATATTTCACACACACACACACACACACTTTCCCTCATATCTTTTACTCTGGCAAACTGGCATCAGCTGTAACAGACTAGACTCCCTGAGAAGCAATGTGCTAGGAAGCAGTCCTCTCTCACTTCAGGACTCTCAATCCCACACAACCCTACAAAGGAACTGCTACACAACCCCTGGTGCTCTCTTCTGCTGTGCTCACCTTCACAAAAATCTGTGCTTACACACACGGAGGTCAAGAGCAGACTCAAGTATCTGAACATCACCAACACTTTATTGGTGGAGTCACACCTCTAACTTTTAGACGCCCTAGGGCTGAGATCACAAATTGTTCGTTGCCTAATTACTCAAAACACATCAACAAAATACTGCATATAGTGCCAAGTCACTGACAAGTGAAATCCCACAATTGATGAAAAGTATTACAACTAGTCAACCTGTGATGACTCTTTGGCCTACTGAGAAGTTTTTATTCTCTGCAAGTTCATTACATGATTCTGGTATTTTCTACATTCACTAAAAACAGAAAAAGAACAAGATTCTACTGACTGTTGTTGTAGAAACCTCTGATGTCATCACTTTCAATCGTTGAATTTCACTGTCTTTCTCTATGTTGCTGGAGATCAGGGCTTTCAGCTGTATTTCTAAAGCTGCAACCAATTGGTCCCGTTCTTCTCGCCATTTTTGAAGGTTAATATTTTTCTCTTCCAGCTGCGCTGTAAGTATTTCCTAACCAGGAAAAAAATAAAATATGTTAAAATAAACCATCAAATCTAACAAATCAAAAAATATTCAGAAATTTCTGTTATACATATTATCATGACTAAAACTGTGAAGACAATACCTAACAAACTTGTCTAGTCCAGATAAAATGTTTACCTATAAAACAAAACACATAACATTATCACACAAACTATCCACATGCTACACTTACTCTCATCCCACCTCATTCCATAAACCAAGTCCTTTGTCATTTCTTCCAATAAACAAATTATAGGTTTTTCTGTTAAGATTTATTCATTTAATTTGAAAGGCAAAATGACAGAGGAAGAGATCGGATGATCTTCCATCTGTTGGTTTACTCCCCAAACGACCAACCGGACCAAGGCTTATCCAGGTTGAGGCCAAGAAGCCCTGGCCTCTAGAGGTCCACAAAAACACCAGTTTATCCCGACAGCTCCACTTCCCATCCAGCTCTCCACTTGTGGCCTGGGAAAGCAGCAGAGGATGGCCCAAAACCTTAGAACCAGTCCACTGATTCACTCCCCATGTGAACACAAAGGCCAGGGCTGAAACCACCCAAAGCCGAGAACTAGAAGCCTCTTCCAGGTCTCACATATGGGTAAACGGTCCCAAGGCTCTGGGCCACCTTCTGCTGCCTTCGCTGGCCACAAACGAGGAGCTGGACGGAAAGTGGAGCAGTTGGGAAATGAACCATTGCCCATGTGGACCTCAGCACATGCAAGGTGAGGATTTATCCATCGAGCCACCGCACTGGGCCCAAAAAAAGCTCTAATTTTACAAAAACAAAAAGTATTTCTCACATAACATGTAACTTAATTATTACAATAAACAGCTGATGTTGTGATCCACTGAGTTAGATTCTGTTTCTGATGCTGGCATCTGTTATTCAGAATGCATTGAGTCCCTGTTGCTCCACTTCTAATCCAGCTTCCTACTAATGCATATAGGAATTTTTGAGTAAATAAAAACTAGGCTTACTTGCTAGCATTGCTGCTAGAGGAGCCACTAACCAGAAAAGAAAGAAGCCCTCTTCCTGGTTTAGAACTGGAATAACTGCAACTGTCTAGAGTCTCTCTCTCTCTCTCTCTCTCTCTCTCCTTATTATCATTTTTTTTTTTACAATTATTTGTTATTGTTGACCTGGAAGGTTTGATAGGTCAGTATCAATACTCTGTTCAATCCAATATTTCTTGGAGACACCTCCAATCACTTGGAGTTGGCACATAAAAACAGACATGCTGCCACTGCAGAGCTGCAATGATCACAAGTGTTAGTCTCACAGGACTTGCAAATTAACAAGCAAAAAAGTGAACAGAATAGAAACATGACTCCAGATTAATTCCAGGACCCACAGGGGAAACTGGGGGAATGCAAATAAGGTCTCAACTTTAGCCAACAGGATTATAAAAAACATCATTTGCTCTGATCACTGTATTTATGTAAGATGCTAACATCAGTGAAAGTTGGCTAAGAGAAAGGAAGTGTCTGCACCAATTTTGTAACTTTCCTGCACGGAAAACAATTTAAAAACAAGGGGGAAAGTTTATTTTTTTAATGGGTGTAAAGGAAATTTATTTACATCCCAGGACACAAGATCGAGCACTGAGGAAGGTTCAGAAAGAACAGCACAGGCTGCACGGTTAAACGTGGCCTGCCCACACACCCACTGTGACCGCACCTTTGCTTTGCCCGGCCAAGAACATGGCCAGTTCACTGCTCTGTGCTCACTGGCATTTACATCAAAGATCAAAGACCAACACACCCTCCTCAGCAAGCTAGATAAGTGGAGCTAACTTTACTGCAACATAACTGCGGTGGGGAAAAAAAAACCTGTGTTAACAGGCAGGAGCATGGTTTCTGAAGCAGAATACAAGCAGTTTGGAATTTAGTACATAAAACACAAAGTTTCCCTCCATTAAATTTGGCCAGCTGTCCAATATTCAATGTTAGAAGCAGCTAACATCTGTGCTCTGCCTAGTCAGCTAACCAAGGACAGAGGATGCTTCTTATCTGCTCCCATTTCAACAATGCTTTGATCAAGCTGCCTTCTTAGCTTTCCTTGAACTCCCTGCTTGCAGACATGGGCTAAGTCTGAGCTGTGTTGGAACTATTGTTTTGCTGAATGTATAAAAAACTGGAACCCTGGACATAAACTTTTGTCAGTAACCCACGAGAGCACTGTAGCCTCATTTCTTTTTGTTGTTCTCCCCAACACCCGCAGAGTAAACGTGCACTTCCCATTCAGGTCCTTGCCTAGGACAGCAGAGGACGGCCCAAGGCCTACGGCCCTTACACCCACGCAGGAGAGCCGAGAAGCTCCTGGCTTCAGGCTGGCTTGGTTCCAGCCTTTCCAGTCATTTGAGGAGTGAACCAGAGGAAGGAAGACTCTGTCTCTCCCAGTCTCTGCAACTCTTAAGTTTCAAAAACTAAATAAATAGACCCTTAAAAAAAGAAAAAGAACCTAAGCGAAAGCCAAGATAAGCTATACCAGAGTGATTAGGGGACAAATAGAAAATCTTCCTCGAAGCAAATGACAAAGGCAAAGATGCAGACAATGAGAAGAATCTCAGGAATAAATTCTAAAGAAAGCAAATGTAACACACTAAAAATACAATTGTTACCGACCACTTCGTTTTGCTGCTTTAAGCAACGTTCCCGGTCTTCAGCATATTTCTTCATCTCTCTGTTGCGTAGGTGCTCAGCTTCTTTCGCTTGATTGATAAGCAGTGTTTTTTCTTCTAACCATTTCTTTCGATCAGCTTCATATTTTTGTTCAGTCTCCTATAAACATTAAATGGTACAAGTTACCACCACCTGTTAAACAGCCAATAAATTTTTGTATTTCCAAAATGCTCATACAAACCATCATTTTCCATGTTTTTAAAACTACAAAATAACTGGTTTTCTTTAAATGTCAGGAACAGCGTTCATTTCAGAGTTTACAAAGAGACATGTACTCGTTTACTATCTTAAAGAGTGTCCCCATTGCAAAGTTTCACTGCTGTAAACTTCAGGTGAAAGCTGCTGCACCAGTGAGCTTAAAAAAACAAGTTTCTTCTGCAACAGCTAAAGTGACTAAAGATTTCCTACACCCCAGGGGAAAAGCAGATATTATTCGTGGTGGTCACTTTTAATGATACAGTTCAATAAATAAAATATTAGGTATTCAGAAGAACAAATAAATATGCTTATGTTAATAGGAGGAACATTCAGAACGGCCAGACAGAAGACACGGCTGATCATGAATAAACTGTGTTCCACAAATCCTTGGCATTTTTACAAGTGTCGAACTTTATAAATCAGAAAAATTCAAGTAGAACTTCATTTCAAGTAGCAACAACGATCCCTTTAAAAACCTTCACAAGCACTATATTAGATGAACTATGGCACTCCTTTGTAGTATTACAAGGTTCATAATCTAAGACATCACGTTGTTTTATTGCAAAGTCAGTATACAGAGAGGAAGAAAGACAGAGAGGAAGATCTTCCATCTAATGATTCACTCCCCAAGTGACTACAACAGCCAGAGCTGCGCTGATCTGAAGCCAGGAGCCAGGAGCCTGTTCCGAGTCTCCCATGCGGGTGCAGGGTCCCAAGGCTTCGGGCTGTCCTCGACTGCTTTCCCAGGCCACAAGCAGGGAGCTGGATGAGAAGCAGGGCTGCTGGGATTAAAACTGGCACATATACGGGATCCCAGTGCATTCAAGGTGAGGATTTTAGTTGCTAGGCTACCGCGCCAGGCCCACCAATACTTCTTAACATGAATTTTTTCAATTTACTTGGTTTGTTATTTTCCATAATTAATGGTATAATTGCTTTCCCATAGCTACTTTTGGATTTTCACAACAGAAACAGCATAAAATTATCTGTGGGCTGGCCTTATGGTATAGCACGTTAAGCTGCAGCCTGTAGTTCAGACATCCCATGTGGGAGCCAGCTCAAGTCTTGGCTGTTCCACTTTCAACCCAGCTCCCTGCTAATGCACCTGGGGCAGGAGATGATGGCCCAAGTATTCGGGCCAGTGTCCCCTACGTGGAACAAGGATGAAGCTGCTGGCTTTGGCCTGGTTCAGTCCGAGCTACTACAGCCATTTGGGTGAGCGAACCAGCAAACAGAACATCTCTCTGTAACTGCCTTTCAAATAAATAAATCATTAAAAAATTTTATATATACATATAATTGACAGAAGTAATTTCTAAATTTTTCATTGATCATATACAATCTGAACTTAGTCATTTAGATGCAGACACATTTTCAAAATCATTCCTAAAGAAAATATTGAATTATCCTCTTACTGATTGATACACAAATACACAAAACCATACCTGTAACTCATCTTGAAGCTTTCTGAGCTTTTTACAAATATCTGAATCTTCAAGGCTTTTATCTGAACTTAGATTACATTTGTTTTCGATTTCCTGGCATTTTTCCTTCCATTTTTCCAATTCTGGTTTTAAAGATACAGCATTATTTGTTAAAAGTACAAGCCAAAGGTACACCACATGGAGATGTAAGTGACATGGATACAGCAAAAAAATTGGAAGAGCTCAGAACACAGACCAAGATGGAACTGAGACTATTACAACAGGTAAACTTCTAAGAAGTACAAAGATCTTTCAGGAACTCAATCAATAATTTCCCAATACACAGCAGAAATTCATATTGGTCTTAACTATGTATGATAACTTATGCAATCCTAAAAAAAAAAAAAAAAGAAAAGAGACTGTGCCAAGGTCCTAGAGGTGTATAACAAAGTAGGAGAGGCAGGCAGCCAGCAGCACCAGCAGCAGCACCACAATTTCATGCACCAGAGTTTTATAAATCACTTTTGATCATCTCACCTAATACTCTTTAAAGCATAATAGTACAGATGGCATTTCTGCCACTGACCACATTTTAAAACGGGGAACAAGTGGCTAGGTCATCACAAATTTCCTACCCAAGATTACATGGTATAGGCAATTTCCTAATTCTAAATCACCAGTCTTTTCTACAAGAAACACAAATAATTTCATTAGTAGCAAATAGGTTTATGCTTTCCCACATATTCTAGATAAATCCCATCTGTATTTTCAAAGCAACCAAACCACAGTACTTATTGAGATGAACATACAATATAACGCTAAAAGCTAAACAGAGGTGAAAATCAGTTGAAAAGCTTGTTCTTAATATCTGGGTATATACAATTTACATAGTTATTTACAATTATTCCTGTAATGTAATCTTAGATAAAACAATTTTTATCACAGCAGAAAATGGCAAGCCATTCAAGAAATTCAATACTTTTTCATTAGGAACTATTATAAATGCTCTATTTTAAAATGGAAAGAAATCTTAAAAAAAAAAAAATGGCAGAAAAAATGGCAGAAAGAAAATAAGGTGAAGTGTTTAGCCACCTAGTTAAAACGTCTGCATCAGAGTGCTGGCTTGCCTTCCGGCCCTGGCTCCTGACGCAGCGTCGTAGCAATGCCAGCAGCGGGAGGCACGGGTGGGTTCCCGCCCCCAACATGAGACCTGTCTCCCAGTTTCCACCCTCACCCGTGGCTGCTGTGGGCATCTGCGGAATGAACCACCAGATGGAAGCTCTCTTTCCCTCTGTTTGTCTATCTCTATGTCTCTCAAGTAAATATTCAAAACACAAAAAGTTGAGGTATGTCAGCAATCTCGTTTTACCTGTGGCCAGACTTTCAGCTTCTTCTAGTTTGGCCTCCAGCACTTGCTCTTGTTCTACCTGAGTCTGCTCCTGTTCTTCTAGTGTCATTCGCATATCTTCAATTAATTTTTCTTTCACATTGAGATCTATACATGCGGGGAGAACATTCCAAAAATTAATAGCATCCAATTTTTGTTGTTTTCTTTGTTTTTAAGATTAAATATACTCTTAACTAAAACATGAGTTCCAAACAGAATCTCTTTTTCACTACTACAACCACAATTCCTAAAACACAACTGGCATATATGATGCAGTTATCATTTATCTGATATAGAAATAGATGCTTGGATGACCACAAAAAAATGCATGGATATATATAGAAAAGCAATTCTCCCACATAAAATTAATCTCAAATTGAAACAACTCTATTTGACATCTTTAGAGCTAACATTTGTACTCAATCCATTACCTGCTAAAACTAAAAAATGTCCAATCCCAACTTGATCTATTTAGTAAAATCATAAATAATTATTATCCTTATAAAAAATTTAAATTCAAATATTTTATTATGTCTGGTTTTCATAATCAGTGCCTCAGACATCACAGAGCAATTAACCTTACCAAAATAGTTTCTGGTCCTTGAAAATTAAATGACTTATAAGTAACTCTATCTTAGCCCTATCTCTAGTACACAGATGAAGAGGAAAAGTGAGGCTGCTTGTGATAGAACACAACAGAAGGGCTTATTTCAGAAAATTTTTGATCAGTACTACTAATGTCAGCAGTAATAAAATTATTAAAATATACACAAACTCAAGCTGTTTTTAATGAAAGACATTCCAAAAGACTGCTCTCTCAAAATGTACACAATGGAGGTGCAGTGCTGTGGTGTCGCGTAGAAAGCCACCTCGAGGATTCTACATGAGCGTCAGTTCATGTCTTGCATACTCAACTTCTGGTACAGCTTCCTGCTAATAGCCTGGAAAAGTGGCTCAAGATGGACCCAGTGCTTGGCCCCTGCTCCTACATGGGAGACTCCGGAAGCTCCTGGCTCCTGCGTTCAGCCGGGCCCACATGAATATTTAGGGAGCGAATTGGCAGACAGAAAAGCACTCTATCTGTCTCTACCTCTCTCTGTAACTGTTTCAAGTAAATAAATAAATCTTGGGGAAAAAAAAGCAAACTATACGCAATGCAAACTTAAAACAATAAGAAACAATTATATTAATAATTTCCAATATTCTTTCCAATAATGTAAGCTGCCAATAGTACTATTATATCAAAATTCCTCCTTGGATTAAAGTTATCTTGGTATTATTATATAAATAATCCTTCATTTCAAAAAGCATGATTTGCAAATATAATAAGATCATAGTGTTTATTAAAATTTCCTAATGTCTTTCCTTTTGTGCTGTATATACAAACGCATAAGCTACTGGATTACAAAGAAAGTGTATAGTTAGAGAGACAGACAGCTCTACCAACTAAAGCCCCAGAGAAGGAAGAAAAGAGAATCATTATATTCTTAGAATTATCTCTATGAATTATCTGCTAAAAGAAAAAATAAAGCTTCAGAACATCAATGACGATATTCTAAGTTACTTGAAGGTGGCAAACTAGAAATGAAGGCAAAAAATAATCATTGCATCAGTCAATGCCTTCAGGGACGCATGCTTTATCTGCATATACAATTAAAATGGAAGCTAAAGTTAAGTGAAGAAGGCTGAGATAATAATCTCATTCTGGCTATCTAAAGATAGAGCTCATGGAACTGGCTATCACAATCAGGTAAATTATTGTGGTACACCAGGTAAAGTCACCACCTGAGGTGCTAGCATCCCAGATCAGTGCTTTGAGACCCAGCTGCTCCTTGTGCAGCTGGGAAAGCAGCAGGGCATAGCCACGTGCTTGGGCTCTTGCACCACAGGGATGAGTGGGACAAAGCAATGACTTCAGTCTGGGCCAGCCCCACCCACCAAGGCCACATGCAGAGTGAGCAGTGAATGAGCCATCTCTCTCTGTTTTTTCCCCCCAACTCCCTGCAACTCTGCCTTTCAAGTAAATAAATCCTTAAAAAAAAATAAGCGAGTGATCAAATGCTTAACAAACAGGGTAAAGCATCAATAAGAACTATAACACCTTAGGAAGCACTCGAGAAACCTTTAAGTATGATATTTGAGAACATGTAGGAAGTCATAAAAAGGGAAATAGATTAGTAATCAAAGTCTGAAATTTCAGAGTAAAGCAAGTAAGTTGGTAAGCTATTCATTAAAATGACTGCTTTCCCTTGATGACATTATGCTATCCTGACTTTAATTCAGAATTTTCAAAGGTAACTATTATCTATTTTCCAATTACATTCATAGAAAAAAAAATTTGTTCCTGACCTTTGCATATTTTCTCATACTGTTGTAACACTTCTTCCACTTTCTGATTACTTAGTTGTTCCTAGAAAATAAAAGAATATTAATTAAACACAAATGCAACTCCAGTACACAATAATACTTAGTGGCAGGTCTGGACAACAGGGTTCAAAATTGAGTATAAATAGTAACAAAGGTCAACTAGGCCTCAAGCTTCCAAGTTTCTTTCACCTTAGAGAAAAGAGAAGGATGGAGATGGTGATGACATAAACAAATACTTTACATATCATAAAAGGCAGAAACAAGAGAAAATGGAATTCTACTATCTACTTAGCCTAAAATAACGAAGAGCATTTAAAAACTCCCCTTCAGCAAATTCAAAATGCAAAGGGCCTCCCTGTCCCCTCTACTGGAAAGTAACTGCAAGTACTGAAAAACATCGGCAACTTCAAAAGGCAAAATTAAATTATGGAGAGTGGAAATCTTCAGTTCCAAGTTAACCTTACTTCTAATCAAGTAACTTTATCACTGTCTCCTCACTTCAAAACTCTTGATCATTTCAACATCTAGAAATCTGTAAATTCTATTATGAAAATATAGATTACTTTAATAGGATTGATTTAGTAAGAACTAAATTTACATCTTTATACTTAAACACTCATTAGTTTTTTCTACTAAAAAGCCTTATTTGAAAGCATACAACAAATCAATTTCTTTATTGTTACCTTATATCCACTTAATCAGCATTAACCTTACTATAATCATTTATAAGAGATTTTCTTGCCAGATGTAATATTAAAAAGAATTTTGAAAAGGTCTAGACCAATTTTTATTCTTATCTTAAATTAGTTTTTAGAATTTGAGAAGAGTTGCAAGATAGCACACAAATTTTTACATAACACAAATTCAGTTGCCCAACATACTCTCATGGAATATTTATCAAAAATTAAGAAATTGACCTCCACACCATATTACCACAGTATATTTACCAAAATCTCAAGAAATTAACCTTGATGGAAGACAAGTAAAGACACTTTATCAGCTGCTGCCCTTTTTCTGTCCCAGGATCCATTCAAAACATCACACTGCACTCAGTCATCATGTCTCCATCTGAAATTGCTCTTCTTTGTCCACTTTATACTGATAAGGGATCAAGCAGACCCTCGGAACGGTATGTGGGATGCTTTCTCACACACCCTGAGACTGAACTTTGGGGAAGAATACCACAGGAGATGTGCCCTTCCGCCTCAATGTGATCTTCTGCATGCATCAAGTCAGGAAGCACCAGCATCAATAAGACTTGCTATTGACAATGCTATTATGAAACACTTCGTTAACACGGTACTTGCTAGCTCTCTTTACAGTAAAATTAGGATTTTTTTTTTCTTTTTCAAATTCTCTTTGTTAGGAGAAAGACATTATAAACTTAAGTCATTTTCTTTTAACTCCAGAAGAGGCCAAAAGAGAATTTATTTAAAAAACAAATATGTAATTCTATTAGACACTAAAATGTAGCAACGCACTGAGGCCATCTTTAACAACAGCTGTTACCTTGAGTTGTTGAATGGTTCGCTGTTTCATATCTATTTCCTGAGAACACTGATTTTTCTTTTTTTCCAGTTCATTAATTTTAACCCTCAGTAACTTCTCCTCATCACGCATTACAGACACCTACAAAGTAATGTTTATGAATGGTTCAATGCTGAGAGCTTTTAATTGTGGAAAACTCATGACAACCTGATCAAATATTCAAAGAATGTCAAGTTTTATAGGTACCCTTCCCCCCCCAAAAAAATCACTGTAATAGTTGCATGGAATAGAAAAAGTTATCATGGCAAAAAGAATAGCAATCATCTAGGGCAAAATCTCTAGTAATTAAAGAGATACTTCAGGGCTGTGACAATGTAAGCTAAACCACCACCAAATGACGGTAATCCATATGAGCCCTGGACAGAGTGCTGGCTGCTCCACGCCTACTCATTCACCCCCCTTACTACTGTGTCTGGGAAAGCAGAAGATGGAACCATGCCATCCACATTGGAAACCTGGATGGAATTCCACGCTCCTGACTTCAGCTGGCCCAGCAGTGGCCATCTGTAGCCATTTAGGGAATGAGACAGGAGACAGACGATCTCTTTCTCTGCCTCTCTGTAACTCTTCCTTTAAAATAAATAATTTTATAAAAAGTAAGGAATACTTTGAAACTTACTCATGGCATCTAGGAAATAAAAATGTAACAATTACAAAAGTAAAAGGTGCTCATGAAAGTCAACTGAATTTTAGAATTACAAGTAACATAAATCTACAAACTTGTTAAAAGAAATCAGACACTGTGCATTAGTACACAAATCTGCACTCAGAACTGGCCTATGGAACTCAGTGTAGTTATACCTATCCACATATGTTTCCTCATCCAAAACACAGAAGTTAGGAATGGTGCCTACACCCATTAAGAGCTAATATGTATCAACCAAGAAATATTAACTGGCCCAGACTTGCTTGCTACAGATATTAGTACTATTATTTGAGAAATAGAAAATATTCTTCATATCTATTATTAGAATAATGTTAAGTACTTTTCTATAAGATACTCTTATAGCAATATCAAAAGATCTCACAAATAAATTCAAAAGCAATACTTATAATTTAATTTACGATGATATACAAATACCCACATTAGCTATATTCACATATACATTACACTGAATGCACACAAAGAAAACTGAACAAATCAAAAAGTCAGTGGCAGTCAAGATACGAAAAAAGAACTTTCGTTCTAAACATTAAAAAAAAATTTAATATTGTTTTACAATGGAAGAAATTTTAATTAGGAAGAGAAGCCACTTTTTAAAAATTGGGTATGGCTCCATGCATACACAAATCAACTGCACAATGCTTGGTAACATATGCTGATGACCATTATACTCCAACATAATTATCTTTTTATTTATTCACTCATTTTTTCTTGAAAGTCAATATTACAGAAAGACCCTCCATCCACTGGTTCATTCCCCCAAGAGCCTTCTCCCAGGTCTCCTCCGAGCATGTATGGGAACAAGGACTTGGGTCATCCTACTCTGCTTTCCCAGGCCACAAACTGGCAGCTGGATCAGAAAAGGAGCAACTGGACACAAGCTGGCATCCATTCAGGATTCTAGCATGAGGTGGAGAATCAGCCTACATCAGCCCCAGACAATATATCTTAATCCAGAGTTTTTTTGCCCTTAGAAACAATGCAGAAACAGTGCTAACACTAAATGGGTGTTGATTAATTGATAAATTGTGTCATAATTACACAACAGTGAAAAGAATTCAAATTAACTCAACATAAATAAATAAATGATCCTAAAAATTGTCTTTGTCTTTTGGGAAGGTCAAAGTATAACATAAAATCAAGCAATCATAAAACATGAATTAAAAGGTTAAAGTTAAGAAAACCAAAATCTGTCCCACAGAGAGGAAAAAAAAAAAAAACCCACCCATAACCAAAACCAAGAAAAAGAAAACAGGCAGTTGGGGGAGAAGGGAGGAAAATCTACAATTCCTATCTCCCAAAAGCTAATTTACTTCTATGTACTAAGTACAAAAAAATTGAAATAACCCAAAATTAAAAGGTAAAGAATATAGGGGCTGGCATAGAAGCCTAGCGAGCTAGTCCTTTGGCTGTGAAGCCGGTGTCATAGGGACATGCATGGGTTCAGGTCCTGATTGCTCCACTTCTAATCAAGCTCCTGTTTATGACCTAGGAAAGCAGAGGAGGATGGCTCAAGTCCTTGAGCCCCTGAACCCCCATGAGATCCAGAAGAAGCACTAGCTTTTTTTCCTTAAGATTTGTTTATTTTTATAGAAAAGACAGATTTATAAAGTAGAAACAGGAGAAAGATCTTCTATCTCCCGGTTCACTCCCCAAACAGCCGCCACAGCTGGAGCTAAGCTGATCTAAAGCCAGGAGCCTCAAGCAGGTCTCCCATGCGGGTGCAGGGTCCCAAGGCTTTGGGTCGCTCTCCACTGCTTCCTAGGGTATAGCAGGGAGCTGGATGGGAAGTGGAGCAGCCGGGACATGATCAGCACCTATATGGGATCCCAGTGCTTGCAAGGCCAGGATGTAATCCATGAGCCATTGCTTTGGCCATAAAGCCACTGGCTTTGAATTGGTTCAGCTCTGGCTGTTATGGCATTTGAGGAGTGAATCAGCAGATAAAAGATGTATGTCCCTCCTCTATGAAAATAGATAGACAGATAGATAAATGAAAATAAATCTTTTAAAAAAAGGATATGAAAATAGCTTATAGGGGAAAAAAAAGCCTTTAAACAAAAACTGTACACTCCAGACTGGCAATGTGGTGCAACAGGTAAAGCTCCTTTTCTGATCCATTCAATGACCTGGGAAAAACAGTAGACAATGGCCCAAGTGTATGGGCCACTCACACCCATGTGAGCAACCTGCATCAAACTCCTGGCACCAGCACAGACCAGCACTGGCCATCACAGTCATTTGGTAAATAAAGCAGCAAGTAAAAGGAAGATCTCTCTGTGTCTCCTTTTTCTGTGAGTTTCAAAAAAAAAAAAATCTTAAGAGATGATCACTCAAAACTAAAGAATTCCAAATTAGAAGTATAGTGAAATACAATACTTATCTATTAAATTAACAAAAGAAATGAAATGCTACTGCTGTAGACACAAATTATAAAGAAATTACACTCATATTTTTATGTGTGGATATGGAAAGTAAACTGGTATACTCTCTAAGAAGGAATAATAAATATGGAAATTACAAAGGTGCAAACAAGTGTCCCATATCTTCCACTTCAAGGAATTTATATTACTGAGACTTGTCAATGTTCAAAAATGACATGACGATGCTGCATAACTTGTGTCAGCATAAGCATGAGAACTGCCTAAACTGCCCAACAACATATTGTGAATATGTGCACTGTAACTACAGAGGATTGATTTGCAAATTCATTATATACTGATATGGAATTGCAGCAAGGATGTAGTATTAAATGAGAAGACAGTATAAGATGGTTTTATTTCTTATAGAAAGGAGGACAGAGAAAGGAAGGGAGGGATAAGGACAGAGAAAGCAATTGGCAATGTTAAATGCTAATTATGAAGGCAGTAAACTTGCAATCATAAAATTAGTGTCTGAACTTTCTCTATAGGGGCATTGACCTTCATTACGATAAAGTGAAAGGCGGGACTTTTGGGGCGCTTACTTCTTTCTGTACTTGCTCAATCTGCCTTTTGGCATCGGTCAGTTTCTCCTTCAGTTCAGCATAATCTTCATCCTTTCTCTGGAGATCTGCTCTGAGATTCTCGGCAAGAGCGGTGCTTGCAGAGAGCTCTGCTTTCAATCTAGAAAACAAACACAAGCCACCTTTTGACAATGATTCACCATGAATCACACAGTCACTGAAGAACCTTCGAAAGTACATCTTTTCACAAGCCCCCAGTGTCCCAAGCACAACCTAGACCCTGAGAGCAAATTTCATGTGAAATACAATACTCATTGCATATCATTTTTCATTCCAATGATATATCATATGAACAAAGCTCAAGAATTTTACTAATTACACATGCTACACATTATCAGACTGTTATGTCCAGTTTCAGGTTTACCACTACACAGAAAAAAAAAATTAACACCTTGCATATTATAAAGCATTCTGAAGAAGTTAGCTTACTTTTCTGTTTCTTGCTTGTTAGTTTCTTTTTCTTCTTCCATTAAGTGAAGTGAATGTGTCATAGCTTGCAGATTACTTGTTAACTGTGTGACCTCTTCTTTCAACCTTATTTCCTTTTCACTTAAATCTTTGCTGTTTTTGAGAGAATCCTCAAGATTTGCTTGCAATTCCTTCAGATTTTCTTCTAACTTTAAAATGATGGACTCCTTTTCCAGCATGACCTGTTCTAACCTGGCTGAGTGCCTGCATTCATCTTTCTGAGTCTCTAAGATGCTTTCAAGCTCCTTTACTTTTGCCCGATAGCGAGTAACATCCTGGGCGAGTTCGGACAGTGCTTTCTCTCCTTCAACTACTTGCTGTTTCTGATCATCAAGATGGTTATTTTTTTCTTGTAATTCTTGCTTCAGCTGCTGTATCATATTTTCTTTTTCTTTTATTAGCTCACCTTGATTTTTCATTTCACGATCTTCTATTTTTAGCCTAGTGTTTTCATCTTGGTATCTTCCTACTTCCGTCTGTAAGTTTTCAACTTGTTTTTCCAGTTCCTGGATCTGATGACTTTTTTGGGAAGAGGTCTTCACAATCTCTTTGCATTCTTCCCAAATAGCTTCAATACTAGTATGGAAAGAGTTACCTCTGCGGAATTCTTGAACACGGTATTCCTTATGCTGTTTACTTTTCAAATCATCATTACCTAAATGGTGTACCTGGGTGTCTGACAGGTTCTCTTCCTGAGAATCATTTGACAAATCCCCGAGATGGAACAAATCTATGTCTGAGATCTGAGAAACTGAATCAAGTGAACGCAGTTCATCTATTTTTGCCTGCATTAATTTTATTTGTGAAACATTCCTCGAGATGTTTCTTGTAGCAGTTTCTATCTCCTTTGATAATTTGATGATCTTTTCTGCCTGTTTTTCATTTATACCTTTTTGTACATCTAATTCAGCAACCACACTGTCATAGTTTGACTGAATTTGTTGGACTTGTATGCTTAATGTTGAACTCTTTTTTTCAGATGAAGAAAGTTCTTGCTGTAAATTAACAATCAGTTTATTTAATTCTGCTTTTTCTTCCTTTTCATTCTGAAGTTTATGTTCAGCAATAGATAAGAGTGTTTTCAACTCTGCATTATCTTGTAAAGAGGTAACATCTTGCCCCCTGTCTGAAATGTTACATTGTATTTCACTTTTCCTTTCTTCTTCAGTGATAGCTGAATTAGTCAACATAGATCCTTTAAAAATTAAAAAGAAAAGATATTATTCTTTAAGATACAAACTTTAACAGTTATCATTGATATAAACTATGCCTATTTTATATGCACTGTTAACAAAAACTAAATTAAGTTTTAAAATTTGTTTTATCCATTTGAAAGGCAGCGCCCCCACCAACATGTCACAAGGAGTTGGGAAGATAGACTGACAGAGACCTCCCATCCACAGGTTCCCTTCAAATGCCTGAAACAGCCAGGGGCTGGGCCAGGCTGAAGAAGGGATAAGGAACTCAGTCCAGGTCCCCGGCTGGGCAGCAGGTGGCCACTTAGTTAAGCCAGCACTTGCTGCATCCTGGAATGTGCATTAGCAGGAATGCAGGAGATCTGACCCCGGTATTTTGATATAGGACACAAGCATTTTACACTACCATGTAAAATCTCTGCCACTAAAGGGTTTTTTTTTTTTTTTAAGATTTATTTTATTTTTATTGGAAAGACAGATATACAGAGAGCAGAGACAGAGAGGAAGATCTTCCGTCCAATGATTCACACCCCAAGTGAGCGCAACGGCCAATGCTATGCCAATCTGAAGCCAGGAGCCTCTTCCGGGTCTCCCACACGGGTGCAGGGTCCCAAAGCTTTGGGCCATCCTCAACTGCTTTCCCAGGCCACAAGCAGGGAGCTGGATGGGAAACAGGAATGCCGGGACTAGAACCGATGCCCATATGGGATCCCGGGCATGCAAGGCGAGGACCTTAACCACTGCACCACCGAGCCGGGCCCGCCACTAAAGTTTAATTCCTTTTTTTCACAGCCAAATTGAATTTGCTATCAGAGAAAGAAAGAAATTCAAAGAGTTAAGCAGCTACCAATGTGCGGACAGAAGCACATGGCAAAGGTTCAGGTTTTCAGCAAGGTTTTCAGGGTCCTGGGATGTTCTAAGGGCATGTTCTCAGAGGGGGTAGTTTGGAGAAATGGGCGAGTGGGCAGGGTCTAGGATAGCGTTTTTCTAAAATTTAGTTCTTAACTTTCATTTTAACAAGGTACCTCAACCAACTGTATAGAGTAAATTGTTCACATTATTTTCAAGAGTATGAATAAATCCTGAATATCTCAATCCTCTAGAATAAATATATACCCCTATTTGATGCTTTCACACAAATTCCATTTTAAAATAAGCATCAAGTAAGTGTTGAACAGCCCAGTACATTACTCCAAAACAAGCATCAATCTGATTCTTCTGCCTTCCTGCTTCATTTCATGGTGTGATTTTATTATGTGAATTTTCTACACAATATTGCCATGACACAACCAATTACATATGTCCTTCTCATCTTCTCTCCCTGTCTTACTAAGTAGTTACCTGGGGAATTCACCTGCACTTTGACTTAGTAACTTCATTAAATACCTTAGAATTAAGTTCATTGTGCTCTAAAATTACAGATACAAGTTTGAGACACTAATCCATAAAGGGAAAAAACAGTTACAAGAAATGATTTGAAATTCTTATGAAACCTATTTCTGTGGTCGGCACTCTGATATAGCACATACAGCTACTCCCTGCAGCGCCTACATCTTACCGGTACTGGCTGGAGAAGCAACTGCCCGTCTTCTGACCCTGCCCCTTGCTGCTGCATCTGGAGAGGCAGCACAGAACAACCCAAGTATGTGGGACCCTATCCCCACGTGGAAGACCCAAAAGAGGCTCCTGGTTCTTGGCTTCAACACTGGCCCGCTCCAGCCATTGCAGCCATTTGAGTATGAACTAGCCGAAGATCTGTCTCTTCCTCATTCTTTCTTTACAACTCTGCCTTTCAAATAAATAAATCTTTTTAAAAAGAGAGGGAAAAAAAGAAAGAAAAAAGCCCATGGCATTGTTATCTTCCTGATGAATCTGAAAAATCTATTTTATAATTGTTTTGTATTTAATGAGTTCCCCTATAACATTCTAAGCATTTCAGCTCTTTATTTTAATGTTTAGTTTGAAACTCAGTAAGCGAGACAAGACATCATATGGAAGGTTCCCTTTATCTGACTTACCTTATATAATAACAAACAAAAAACAATAAACCTAAATATATTTGAAACCTGGATACACCACTTATGTCAGAAAAAAATATAATCTTTATAAATTAAAGTTTTACAATCAGCAATCTATTCTTACTCTAACTATGGAAACACTCACTAATCTGACATACGTTTCTTACATTAGCATTAGTGTAATTTCATGTTTAAAATTTTAAGGACCTCACATTAAACTTCCTGTACAAAAGTGACTCTCTAATTCAAATTACCCAAGTGACATTAAAATATAGATTCCCATAACCAAATATTGATTTGGTTAAGTATGGTATGTATTTTACACACACCATTTTGAATACTAGTAGTCTAGTACTTTTCAAATTTCTGGAAGAAGCTAGCAATTACCTCTATAATATTTTCGGTGTTAAACATCAATTAGTTTTATTACAAAACCCATCAGCCTTGCCACATTTGATTACTCCACACCAGCCAAATGTCAAACCTTATATAGCTATGAGATTCAAATCCTCAAGCTCAGACTCCTGTACATCATTCTTAGCATGACAGTAGTCCTTGGAACAGACATGTATTGAATCTGATGAAGATAGCAGAATTTCTGATATCATAAAAAGCTTTCTAAATTGAAATCTACTATACCATATACAAATAAATACATTTCTATCTTACATATTTACGAGAGTTGGGGTTGCCAGCAAAATAAAAGCATAAGCATTTATGAAACTGTTTATATAATTGTACATACAAATTATATAACATAGGGCTAGAAATGATGCAAATAACTGTTTCCTCTCAAAAAAAGTTTTAAGGATTAATTAATGTATTTGAATGTGGCAGAGTTATAGAGAGGGAGAGAAGAGATTTTTCATATGCTGGTACATGCCCCCAAATGGCAATGGAGGGGGCTTCTTCCAGATCTCCCATGTGGAAGCAGACCATCTTCCACTGCTTTCCCAAGCACATTAGCAGGAAGCTGGGTCAGAAGGAAGGGATGCTGCTACGATGTAGCACTGGCCCCTTTTAAAATTTTAAATCCTGACTTATTGATAATTAAAATCTGTTCACCATCTCAAAATATTGATTGGCTGACAGTGAAAGCATGACCCCACTCAACAGTCAATGTAAATGTGGGACTATCATCCTTACGCTTCATGGAAGTATGTATCCAATTTTAGCTTCAACAGTGCATGTACAAAGAGCAAGGTTTATAAACTTACATTTTTAAATATAATTCATGCTCTTTGTCTTCACCTAGTTGTCTAAGCTTTCTTGAGTATCAGTAATCATAGGCAATCCTTTGCATGATTTCAGATCTCATTAAAAAAAAACAGAATAATCACAAAAGTGTTTCAGGCAAGATTTTATTATCCATAATTTGCATAGTCTGGCCAGCCTCAAAGAACAATAAGAAAAATATAGCATTACCTTAACACAGTTTTGCTTTCTTTGGAGGCATACATTTTTTCTAACTATTTTCTCAAGCTTTTCCTTTTAGTCTAAGGAGTCTGGCTACACTGAAATCTTAACAACTTGCCTTTCTTAAATTTTACAACAAACTTGCCCTTACATTCTTAAAAAAATATTTTTGAAATACTCAATTTCTAAGTGTTTCCTGCCATCTTTAACACAGTTCAAGTACCTTTACTTATAGTAATATTTAGCTCAAAAGTCTTATTATGAATGAACGTTTTTAAAGAAAGAAACAAAGAAAACAACAGAGTGGAAAGTTTGGGGCAGAAATAGTTCTATTTATGTAATTAAAGTGATGAGCTTTAAATATTATAAGCCCAGAAATAAAAGATAATTAAAAAGCATGCTGAAGTGATAAAACCACATCTAAAATCATATTAAAATAAGGGCTGACACTGTGGCATATACTAAGGGGACCTCTACCCACAGTGCCACCATCCTACATGGGTGCCAATTCAAGTCCTAGCTACTCTACTTTCGATCTAGCTTCTGGCTCATGGCCTGGAAGGCAGCAAAAGCTGGCCCAAGTGTTTGGGCTCCTGCACTCAGGAGGGAGATCTGACTTCACACTGTACAAATCCAGTTATTGCAGGCATTTGAGGGATTAATCAATGAATGGAAGATCTGTCTCTCCTTCTCTCTGTGTAACTCTGCCTTTCAATAAAGTAAAAAATTTAAAAAAAAAATTTTAAAGAGCATATTAAGGTAAAAGCTTTGGACCTGGCATTGTAGCATAGCAGCTTAAGTTGCCGCTTGAGACAACAGTATTCCATATTCAAGGGCTGTTTTGAGTCCCACTTACAATTCAGCTTTCTGCTGATGCACTAAGGAAAGCAACACAAGACTGAAGTTCTAGGGCCCCTGCCACCGAGATGAAAGATCAATTGAACCTGGCCCAGCCCGGCTGCTAAGGCCATTTAGGAGTGAACGCAAAGATGGAATGTCCCATGCGTGGACTCTCCAGCCCAATTCTGCCTTCTCTCCTCTCTGTGTCCTTTCAAAATACAAAATAAAACAAACAAACAAGAAAAAAAAAAGCCCAGTTTTAAGTATACTCCATCCTCCAAACAATTTATAACATATCAGTACAAAAATCTGTAACATTCAGATTTTCTCAAGACTTGCTCTGACAAGCATTTCCACCTTTTCTATTCACAGGTTTAGACATTAGTCCTTTTCAAAGCCTCCTGTTACCAGTTGAAGGTACTACCTTTCTTTGCTGGTGGTTCATCTTGTTGAAGATCACATTCATTTATCCTTTTTCGTTCTGAAAACATTTTGGTTCTGCTGTCCTTGGACACTTCAACCGTCTTATTACAAGTCATTTTATCGTTTATTAAAGATGTATCATCCTTGTCCTAAATGAAGTAAGTTTAAATTCATAAACAGAAAACTCCAATATGTAAAAACCATACAATTATCAACAGTGCACTATAAAAATTGTTATATTTCAAATTTGATGCAACATTTTCTAAGATATTAAGTTTCACCCTAAAATATAGTGCTGATTCTGGCAAGTGAGTACCTTGGGGATAAATGCAGAACCTAGGAACACTCATGAATCAAGTGATATTCATAATGTGCTTGGAGAAGAAAAATACAAAACTATGTTTATTTTGCAATCCATTATTTCATTTTGTAAATAAAAGCTCTTATTGATGAGCAGTGTTGTTTTACACTTTAAAAGCCCCAGAAAAATTGTTTGGGTCTTTGTTTTTGACCAATGTATATTAAAAAATACACAATCAATATATGGCTTTAAAATGGAGCTTTTAGATAAGTCAGATTTTTACTTTTAAGGCTTCCCTAAAACAGTCAACCAGAAAAGAGGCCAGAATGAATGTGTCCAGAAAGAGAAAGAGTAAAACTCAGTAATCAACTGCAACTCTCTGAAATAAGCAAAGGTACACTAAGGGCAGGGACTAACAACAATCCATTTGAGAAAAAAAAAAAGTAATTGATAAGACATTATTACCATTTTACATTATAAAATATGCAAATTTCAGAACATGCAGATAAAATAACATTAGGTCATAAGGTAGTGGGTTTTATATATGTGTATGTCTGTATACATGCATACATATATACACATACATATATATATAACACAAGTAATAAGGAGTTAAGGGAATACACATGTGGACAGTGGCTAAGATGCTGCTTGGACAGAGAGAGCTCTCCCATCCATTGGTTAATGCTACAAATGGCCAATAAAATGGGTTGGGTCAAACTGAAGCCAGATGGCAGGAATTCCATCCAGGTGTCCCATATGGCTCACAGGCGCCCAAGCACTTGGGCCATCTTTTGTTGCCTTCCCAGAATATCATAAGGAAGCTGAACTGGAAGCAGAGCAGCTGTGACGTAAACTGGCTCCCACATGAGATACCATCAATGCAGGCAGACTTAGCCGGTGGTAATACAACACTGGACTCCCTTTTTATTGTTGTTTTTAATGAATTCAGTAAAAGAAGGAAACATATCTGTAGGTATTGCTTTAGAATAATTTGCAAGACATAATTTAGAGAGGAAGAAAGCAAAGCAGAAAATCACTCTACTTGTGCAAACTTTTTAGGACATATGTATCCTTCTATATATGTCCGCAAATTTCCCATAAGGCTTATAGAATCTTCCCAATGACCATCACTGAAAAGCAGTATAAAGGTGAAGGCATTTAGACTTCTCAATTTTGTTATCACCGTCTTCATTACTTTTTCTGTAATTGGTTTTAAAATAAACATTTGTAGTAATAAACTGTACTCTTCTACTCCTCATCAAAACAAAGAAATAAAAAAGCTTAAAGTATTACCTTACTAGATTTCTTCAGCCCTTGGACTAATAAATCTGATTCTGAAAAAAACAAAGAATTTTGAAAATAAGTTCATATCTAAGAAACGATGACTAAACTCATGAAACACAAGTTTCTATAGTGGACACTTTTACCAGCATTACATTCAGGAAAAAGAATTTTGACAGCATTACAAAGGCACAGCATTCGTCTTACAAGAGAATAATGTTTCAGAAAAATGATACTTTCAAAACCCAGGATAAAAAATGAGTGACACGTTAAGTAGTAGAGAACTGGCATGACACCAGAGAAGAGACAGAGTCAGGGCTTTCCTGGTCCACTCCAAAGGCAGAAGCATCACTTACCGGCTGTTTCTCTACCCATCTAGTATTACACAGAAAAGGGAAGATGATTTTATCCAATTTTCTCCAACTCCAAATGTTGCAACTAATCATACAGAAAGATACTTCAAAACCACTAATGGAAAATGAGTATTATGAAAAAAACTATCTGTATTTCAAAAACTTTTACTTCAATACAGACTTTCTCTTTTCCTTTTTCCGTTAAAATTTTGAAGTACCCTCCTACAAATGTAAGATATCCTCAAAGACAGAACGAACCTCCAATCTAGCTTCAGCCACCCCATAGGAGTTAGTCTATTTCAAACTTGTAAGCCAAGAGCATAATCTCCTACACTAGAATGCATAAAGAATATGGAAGAATAATTTCTTCATTTACGGAAAAAGCTAATACTTTCTCTTGAAAAGTCCTTGACCTATAGGTTAAGATGGCAGAAACCTTTCTATCACATGGGAGAACCTGGGACTGATTCAAGCTTCCTAGTCATGCAGATTCTGGGAGGGAGCTGTAGACAGGCCCATTACGTTCCTGTCACCTAATGGAAATTTGGATTGAATGCCAATACGCAGCCACAGACCAAGCCTTCCTATGGCTGTTGTGTGCATTTAGGGAGTAAACTAATAGATGGGAGTGCTTTCTGCCTTTAAAACTAACTATTTCCCAAAAACTAGTGAAATAAGTGATGGTCAAATATATTTCTTGTAGCAAATTTGTATAAATTCATATAAATGATTACATACTAAAACTTACTACCCTAGGTTAAGGAATTTCCTGGTCACTGTAATAAATAAGTTGTGTAATTCTCTTATATTTATCAGATTTTATATGTTTATAATATCTACAAAGGAGTAAAATACATCTACTTACCATTATCTCTCTTTTTTAACTCTTCTTTGGTTTTGATTAATTCTTCTTTAGTTTTATCTAATTCAGTTTTAACTTGACTTAACTTTAGTTGTAAACAAGCAATGGCTTCCTGGGGATCAGCAAGAGATGCAATGCATAAGTGAGCAATTTCAGCCTGTTTCTTAATATCAGTGACATCATCTTGAAGAGAGTCAATAATATCTTCAAATCCTACATAATTATGTGCTTCCTAAAAACAGCAAAAACCACATGCCTAATGTTAACCCTGGGTTTCACCCTGACGTGTTACCACATAATACACAGAGCTTTAGAAACAGCCAAAAACTTACGATAGCCTTTTAGGCAAATCATATAGAAGCCCCCAATGGAAAAAAAAATTTCATTCTACTACTGATTTTTTAAGGAACAGAATCATTTTTCCTCATTAAAATGTCACAGGGAAAATGTCCGAAACAGTGAAAATTATACAATTATGGTAAGTTAGTTAGGTATCATCTCAAATAAATAACGATACTTAAAAGACTATGTTAGAATAGCCAAGAAAACTAATCTTCATTTAAACAACTCAGTTCAATTCGAAATCATAGCAGTGACACAGAATGGTGAAATGACAGCAAGAGTCTAGACATCACTGTCACAGGTCCCTGAACCGAGTGACGACAAAGCAAGCAAGTGGTGCAGGCGGCCCTGTGCACCACGTTAAGCCACTGCTTCCAACACTGGATTTCCACACTATCGGGGCCTGCTTGAGTCCTGGCTGCTTCCGGTGCAGCTCCCTCCAATGCACTCCACAAAGCAGTCAAAGCAAGATGGCCAAAGCACTTGGGCCACCTTCTGCCACCCATCTGGGAGACCCAGATGCTGTTCCAGGGGACTGGTTTAGCCTGGCACACCCTCTGGCTGTTGGAGGCATTTGGGAAGTGAACCAGCAGATGGGAGATAGTTCCTTCTTTCTCTCTAATTCTGACTTTGAAATTAACATAACTATTTAAAAAGTGACTTTGAAATTAACATAACTATTTAAAAAGTGACAACAACAACAAAAAAACCTAGAAAACCTAGTCAGTTTCTGAGGAAACAGAAGAAAAGGATAAATTTTCCTTAAAACTAGGAAGCTGTAATTATTCAGTAAGAACAAATATTTTTGTGGTAATCAAAACAGTAAGTAAATTACTCCTTTTAGAGTTCCTTATATCTTTAGATAGTCTAATTTAAAAACTGGAAGTTTAAGACTAAGCTGGGGAAGGTTTCTTATAATTAAAAACACTGAACCTCTTTGTCAGTCCATATAATGACTCAAGCAATATCAAAACAATTTGCATTAACATTCCTAACAAAACAGATATAAGTATAATAAAAAAAAGAGTTATTTGCGCTAATTCTAAACTAATGTTTCTCATCAATAACGCCACCACATATTATATCCTGCTACCAAACTCTCCCTGGAAATCTAGCATTTGAGATACAATACCTCAGTTTCAACTTTCACAGCACAAACTCTATTGCTTGGCTCTTCCTGAATGTCACATACACCAACCAAATCCTTGAAGATCGCCAGACGGCATTCAGCATTTTCTTCCGATATCTCTCGTTCCTGAAGGATTGTTTCTCTGCATTACACAAATTAGATCCATTTAAAAAACAGAACAGAATTCTACACTGCCAAGGGCTAGTACAGATTAAAACAAACTTCATGTAAGACGATTAGTAAAAGCTACTTTCAAATTACTGAAAAGAAATGAGAACTCAGAAAGCAAGAAAAGGAAACAAGGCAATGAAATTCTCAGTTTTTACTAAATCATCAAAGAAACAACTTACTTAAAGTCAGCCTCACGTTCAGCCAAATATTGAGTAAATTCCTGTGTAACTTCTTCTCGAATTTTAAGTTCCAATGTTAACTTCTCTTTTTTTTCATTTATCAGTTTTTTTTTCAGTTCTTCTATTAAATTCAATAGTTTCTAAAATATTTAAATATTAGAATTCTTATAAAAGGATAAACATACCCCAAATACTGTCCAACTATTTCAAAAATAATTTTTATCTAATCAACCACAATTACGTATCCTTTTTAAAAATTGTATTCTCACTAAAATTTTGGCATTTGCAGATTCATTACTTTGTAATCTCTCCACCTCATAGGAAGACCTACATGAAAAATAAACTCAAACATCTCAATGCTCAGCTGAACTAAGAAAAAGGTAAATTTGCCTCATGTATTATCCACCAGGAGCTACTATTCCACTTAAACCCAACACTGTGAATTTCATTAGTAGGGATAGCCTCTACTTCTAAAAGATATCAACGCTAGATTAAAAATGACTACACAAATGTGATGCTAAAATCAATGTTTTTTTGTAAACAGAAATTAAATGGTTATTCAAGCTATATTAATACCACCAGAGAAATCTCAGGATGGGTAACCTAACAGATAGCTTTGTTACATCAATATTAGGCTTCTTAGGTGAAAGAACAGTCATGGAAATTATGAGGAAAATTTCTCATTCTTAGAAAATAAATACCATCATAGTTAGTTTTAAGGTATAATTTTGTATAGGTTTTTACCTACAAGCAAAAGAATCTTTACTTACATATTTATAATATGACAACAATTGGGGACCCAACTACTCATTATACTAGCATTTTTATAGGCTTAAAATTTTTCAAAACATAAACTTGAGATACAAAAAATGTCAACGTATGATTGAAAAAATGGGAGAGGAAACCTTAAGAACTATTAACTCTGTATGCCAATAAATATATACCATTAAAACATTTTTAAAGTTATTTATAAAAATTGCTAATGAACTTCAAATTGGAAAGGCAGATATACAGAGAGGAGGAGAGACAGAGAGGAAGATCTTCCGTCTGATGATTCACAATGGTCAATGCTATGCGGATCCGAAGCCAGACGCCAGGAATTTCTTCCGGGTATCCCACACGGGTTCAGGATCCCAAAGCTTTGGGCCATGCTCAACTGCTTTCCCAGGTCACAAGCAGGGAAGTGGATGGGAAGTGGAGCTGCTGGGATTAGAACCGGCACCCATATGGGATCCTGGTGCATTCAAGGTGAGGACTTTAGCCACTAGGCCACGCTGCCAGGCCCCAATCAATAAGTTTTTAATACCTACCTTGTTCTCCTTGCAGTTAAGTAAAGTCTTATCTTCCACAGTTCTATCCAAATCTTCATCACTAAGTTCCATTTCTTTATTTTGAGTTTCTTCACCTTCTTCTAGATCCTCAGCCAAATCTTCATCTTCTACCAAATCTTCAAGATTATTTTCCCATGAAACAGTGGCTCTTTTTACATTTAACATTTTATTATCTGAATTATTATCTACTGATATGTCTTCAGAAGACTTGGAAGTTCCACCAGCTCTCTCTCGAGAGGAATTTAAAGCATCAGGAACATAAACCTGTTAAGATACCCAATGTAACTTTTACAATAGTAGCCAGTTGTGCATATACTAAAATTGAGATGTCAAGAAAGTAGTTACAGGATGTGGTTAAGAACTTGCATTTTCTAACATATTGGTCACTCAATACCTTATTAATTAACTTGAAAAAAAAAAAGAAAGAAAAGGCAGGGCCTGCCACAAAAAATTAATCTTGTAAATTAGATCAAATATCTAATTGAGTGTTAAAAGATTAAACAAACAAACATACAAAAGTTAAATTCATACCCTTTTTTTGTATTTTTTAAAGATTTATTTATTTATTGGAAAGTCAGATATACAGAGAGGAAAGAGACAGAGAAGATCTTCCGTCCAATGATTCACTCCCCAAGTGGCCACAATGGCCAGAGCTGCACGTATCCTAAGCCAGGAGCCCAGAGCCTCTTCCAGGTCTCCCACACGGGTGCAAGATATCAAGGCTTTGGGCCGTCCTCACCTGCTTTCCCAGGTCACAAGTAGGGAGCTGGATGGGAAGCGGGGGCCACTGGGATTAGAACCTTAGCCCATATGGGATCCTGGCACGTGCAAGGCAAGAACTTTAGCCACTAGGCTGCTGTGCTGTGCCCCAAATTCACATCCTTAAAAGAACATTCTTTTAAGAAACAAACTACTTTTACATGCAGACTAGAAGCAAAACTGTAATCCTAGGCTAAGTTCTTTGTATTGGCAGTCAGGCAAATAGCAGAGCAGACTATTTTTTCCAAGAAAATTTCTTAATTTGTAATGTTTACCATTAATATTTATTTCTAACCTTCAAGTCAATTCTATTAGGGCAATCTTCAATCTTTTTCCATGTTATTCTACTTCATCAAACATTTCCATACTTAATTTTCAATTATTTCCTTGGCTTTAAGTAGCAAACAGAAAACATATTATTTCTTAAAAATCTGAGTCTTAATAAATTCTGTAGGAGTGTGAATATACTTACTTTTTGTGCAATGGCTGAGAACTTCAGCACATTGAGCGTTTCATCATAGGCAAAACAACACTGACTGATGTTGACAATCATACATATTTTCCCTTTACCATTAAAAAAACTTTGAAAATAATGGGTCAGTTTACTTTCCCGGAAAGGCACATGCTGTTGAAACCTGTGAAATAAAAAAAATTTTAAATAATATTAAGTCAAATCAAAGCTCATGAGGTTAATATGCTGATAAAGTTTACCAGGAATAATTTGATCCACTTAATACAGACTTAAAATTGAAAGTTAAAAATTAGCTTCAACTGTAACAGGCTTCTCTGCTCATTTTCTTTAAACTAGGAAAAACAAAGAAAAACACATTTAATGGAGCTGTGTTTCATGGTATACAACTATTGCATAACAGGTAGCACTGGATGATGACATAGAATACTATGCAATGGATACAACTGTTTGATAATAAAAATGATGAAAGATGACTTATCATTACTCAGCTTACAAAGCTATATAATGCAAAAATCTCCATCTCTAGAAGAATGCACACAAATTATTAGCAAAAATGAAGTAGCAGTTTCACTGCGATGGCCAAACTAGCTCATCCTGTCTACAAATGCCAGCAACCTAAGTGGGCAGCAGTTTATGTCCCAGCTACACTTCCCGTACCGTACAGCCCCCTGCTTAAGCTCTGGAAAAGCAGCAGATGACGGTCCAAAGCCTTAGGACACTAGTTCCTCAGGGGAGACCTGAGAGTCCTCCTGGCTCCCAGCTTTGGATTGGCTCAGCTCTGGCCATTGCAGCCACCTTGGAGAGTGAACCAGTGGATGAAGACCTTTCAGTCACTGCTTTCTATAAAACTGTACAATCTACCTTTCCAATAGAAATATTTTCTTTAAAAAAAAAGAGGACCTGGGGTAACCTAGTGGCTACAGTCCTCTCCTTGCATGCACCAGGATCCCACATGGGCGCAGGTTCATACCCACTTCCCTTCTAGCTCCCTGCTTGTGACCTGGGAAAGCAGTAGAGGACAGCCCAAAACCTTGGGCCCCTGCAACCACATGGAAGATCCTTAAGAAGCTCCTGGCTCCTGACTTTGGATCAGCTTAGCTGCAGCTACTGTGGCCACTCAGGAAGTGAACTAGTGGATGGAAGATCTTTCTCTTTGTCTGTCCTTTCCATAAAATCTGACTTTTGAATGAAAATAAATAAATCTTTAGAAAAAAAAAAGTAGCATACAAGCATCATGAGAGGTTCATTTCTAAACTGCTAATACATTTTTGCTTTGGAAAACATAGCTTAACTGATGAGTTACCAATACCAATGAATCTTTTTCTTTATTTCTATCATTTTTTTAATCCAAGATCTCTAAGTATTTAAATAATAAATACCATCATCATGTAAGAAGCAAGTCAACAAATAAAAAAAAAGCAAACTTTCTAAAATCAGTAAAGTTGAAAGTTTAAATACTAATACATACACTAACAACACCTACTTTGATTTTTCACTGTTCTTCAAAACATTAATGCACTTTCCCAGAGTCAATAAAGAAGTATTGATGTTCCCAGTCTCCCTTAATCTTTCACCTTCATTCTGTGTCTTCATGCTGCGTTCTGAACCAGCAAGATCGCATAAAGACAATCTGAATTAAACAAAACACCAAATAGGTTATTTGAAAAGTTCTTCTAAACAATTTAAAATAATTAAGAGCTTGATAAATTTTGAACTTACTCACTGACTCCAATTACACGAGGCATTTCAGAAACTTCAATGTGTAAGATTCTAATAGTGAATATGCTGTGACTAAAAGAAATATACGAAGATTAAATATTACAGATTTTTAATTTTAACATCCTAAATAAGAGATAAGCATCTAAACCAATCTCAATACCCTAGTATTAGCTTTAGTTCATCACAACATTTTTTCAAAAAGCTGCCAGATATTTCAACCTATATACTACCAAGAATCCTATAATTTGTGTACTGCTAATTCTCCTAACACTTCTCTTCCTGACATTCCAACCACGAGCAATGGAATCACTTATAACAAAATCTCACTCCATCACAAAATCTACATTTGACCTTTATATTTAAATAGACTTTCTGAGTCATAAATTATCTGTAGCCCAACTGAACATGAACGGAGCCATCACTGTGTACTGTACTTTTTTCTCCCTTAGGAGAAAACCTGTTATATAAAAAACAAAACAAAAAACTTACTGCTTAAACTTAGTCCCTCTGTCACTCATCTCCCAGTGTTTCACTTCTTAGGAGCCAGTATGCTGGCACAGCAGACTTTGCAGCTGTCTACTGTCTGCTTTAAGCTCCTGCTGGCTCATTTCTGATCCAGCTTCACTCTAAAACAACCAGGAAGGCAGCATATGGCCTGGCTCCTTGAGACCCTGACACGCATATGGGAGACACAAACAGAGCTCTGGCCTACGGGCTGTAGGCTAGGCCAGAACTGACTGTTGCAGCTGCTGGAGAGTGAACCCATGGATGCATGCTCTCTCAACCAGTGCGTGGGAAATAGCTTGCATGTTTTTCTTTTCACCTCTTTCCCCCTCTCTTTCTTTTCTATCTCTCCATCACTCTGCTATTCAAATTAATAGTTTTAAAAAATCCTTTTAAACTGCTTGGGATAGCAATCTTCAGTATGCATATGGTATTTAAAAGGTAAATGGGGAAAATGCAGGGAAAAGCCACAATTATAGATAACTGAAAATACTGAGCTGAAATATCGACATAAATAAAGACTAAATATATCTGAGACTTTCTACAAATTAGCGAAGTTAATATTAGGACCAGAAATAGCATTGATAATATTATATGTTATTGCTCTTTAGTTTACAAAATGTTTTTATGCGCTGGAATTAATTTAACTTACTACAAAACCAACTACTTCCTTTAATTTAAAACTGACTATATTTAAAATACACAGGATGCCATGGGTGCTTCAGGCTTATCCCACAGAGCGTGTACCTTACCTTCTACTGGAAGCATTATTCAGTTTTGTGAAGGCAACACTCTGGTGCTTTATTCCTAGTTTTAAAAGTTTGTATGCTTCTTTGGAATCAGATACTTGAATCCATTGTAGATCTTTAAACATAAAGAGGATTTCAATCAATATACTGAAACAACAGAATCTGTTCTACAATGACAGCCTTTTCTCAGTGACACAGATCAGACTTTCTTCTACTAACACATCTGAGTTTGAATTAAGCTTATACTCCACAATCTTATTATACTCCACAAGAAAATAGGTATAACATTAGAATTATATGATGTTGGAGTATTCAGGTTCCACACACAAAGTAAATGACCTTCAATAGTCTGCCAGGAATGAAAACTGGAAAAATTCCTTAAAATTAAACACTCAGGGGGAAAAAAAAGACAAAATATACAGTACAATTAAGCTCATAAAATTAGCCACAGAGCCATCATTGAGATGTAGCAAGTTAAACCACCACTTGCAACACCGACAAAGCTTATCAGACTCAGTTCTAACCCCAGGTGCTCTGCTTCCAACACAGCCTGCTGCTAACACACACGGCAAGAAAGCAGAGGATGGCCTACATGCTTGAACCCCTGCTGGCCACACAGAAACTTGGTGTTCTAAGTTCCTGGCTTCAGCTGGACCAGCCCCAGCCACTGTGGTCATCTGAAGAGTTCACTAGCAAGTTAAAAGCATGTTTTTTCTTATTCGACATTCTGTCAATATGTACATAAACAAATATTAGAAACAAAGAAAAAAAGAAAACAGAATGGTTTCCAAAGTATTGAAAAATCCCATTATGGGAGAACAGTAACACTTCATAGCTCAAAAACTTGGACAATAACCAAGTAGCATAATAAAGTGACTTAGTGACTTTAATGATACAAAGCATTTCCATGACTAAGAATCCAAACAATGATATTCAAGTAAACACAATAGCAAACTAGGTCCTTTTATATTTGTTTGCTAAACACATCAAACCACTTTCCACAACATACTTCTCTTATTCTTTTGATATTAATAAGGAATATGCAAATTTTCATATCCCTGCTGGCTTTCCTACAGATGTCCCAAACTACAAGGCAATTCATTAGTTTACCTTTTATGAAAGAATAGCCCTTTACATCTTGGGAGAGGCGCAGCATCTTTCTCTTTTGGAACTTCGATGATACAGGAGCAAACAAATCATAAATACATTCATTGTAAATCTCAAAGAAAGAAACCCATACAGAAAATTTTATATTATCCATATTCAAGCTAGATGGTTCACAATCTTTCAGGGATTCTTCGAGCTCTGGAATATTCATAGAGTTGGTGAAGCTTCCTACCAAAAATAGAAAAAAAAAAGGATAATAAAAAATTCAGTTAACTAAAAATGAGAGAAACGTTCAATTGAAGACAAATAGACAAATCAAATATATTTAATCCTATTATATCTATATCAAGCAATTTTAGAAACAAAACAAGATGTAAATCACACATGGATTAAGCAAAGTTTGCCTTTTTGTCCTTTTATTTAGAAACATGCTAATAAACCAAAAGAATGAACAGGTATCCCTCTTGAATTCAATTATTAAAATTACAAGCAGTAGGGACGGGCTCAGTGGTATAGCAAGCTAAGACTCCATCTGCGGCACTGGCATCCCTTACAGGTGCAAATTCATGTCAAACCTGCTCCACATCCAACCTAGCTTCTACCTTACTGCCTGGGAGAGCAACCAATATGGCCCAAGTCCTTGGGCCCCTGTGCCCAAATGCAGACTGGGAAGCAGCTCCTGGTTCTCAACTTTGAACCAGCCCAGCCAGGGCCATGGCAGCCATCTGGGGAGTTATTCAAAGGATGACACATCTCCCTCTCTCTCGGTCTCTCCTTCTCTCTATAGCTCTGACTGTAACTCTCTTCTGTCTGTAACAAATATTTTTAAAATAAATAAGTTATGAGCATTAAATGGATATTTGTGCAATTTAATACAAACAAGACTGATATTTCTAGATATTATTATGAAGTCAAAGAAATTTGTGCAGATAATGCTATATTGCATTACTTCTCTTAAAAAAAAAAAAACCAACAGAATAGGATTCTGAATGTTTTTCCAATAAGGAAATTTTAGATACTTGAGAAGATATTGGACCATAACTGCGTAACTTACACAATGCGCACATATATTAAAATATCACCTAACACCCAACACACACATATAATTTTTGTTAAAAAAAACTAATATTTAAAAAAGAAATCACTCCTAGTAGCCTTTAAAATTAAAATTTAAAACTAAATTTTAAAATTAAAAGTTGCTATATAAATAGTAAAAAATTACAATTTTTTAATTAAAAATTTTAAAATAAAAAGCTGGAGAAGGCGCTCAGCTTAGCAATTCTGCTGGTTGAAACATTGGTGTCCCATATTAAAGTGAACTGGATTCAACTCCTAATTCCAAATTTTTGCTGATACAGAGCCTGGAAAGCAGCAGTATTGGGCCAAGTGGTAAGTCTCGGCCACCCATCTTTGAAATCTGGATTGAGTTCCTAACCCATGGCTTGGCACAGTCCCAAGCTACTGCAAGCTTCTAGAGACTAAAAAAGATGTCTTCCTCTCTGTATCTCCTTTTCTACACATTTGCCTTTACAATAAAAATAAATAAATCAAAAAATGAACCAAACCAAAAAAAAAAAAAAAAAAGATGGAAGAAAGCTCACTCTGTTAACCTCTTAGAAAATAAATTCACACTAAAACCTTTTGAAATGTATTTCATCTGATCAATAACTGAAAACCAGGAAAGACCAGAAACCTTACCATGAAGGGTATCATCATTGTCACTAAGTGTAACAACCTAAAAAAGAAAGATTTAGAGGTTAAAAATCACGTTTAGATATGAATTACCTACTCACATTCATCATCAACCAAATTTCAATTCAAGATCCCCTAAACACCTGACCTTCATTCATTAAACTGTTTTTAGCTTAATACAATCTTGTGGAAGGAAATCCAGAAAAAAACTAACCCGAGTTAATTTAATAGGCAATCGTAGCCCGTCAGAAGCAATTATCACAGTATCTCACCGTCTCCCCCATCTGTTCTTTCCCTACACTTATGATAAGGCTTTTCTCACTAAAATTAAAAATTATAAATATTTGAGGTCTATGGAACATTATTCCATTATTAAACATTTGCATTATTTGCAAATCTTGCCAGAAATAAACACTAGAATAAGCGTTTTATATATTTCCTACTTCATTCTAATTATTCCCTTGGTTTACACAACTAAAATTGAACTGGCAGATGAAAAGATCAAAAATCTAAAGCTCTCACAATTAACCAAAGTATTGCCAAAATGTTTTCTAGAAATACTTTATAATCAATATATAAAAGTGATTGTCATTTTGTAATATTATTGTATTTCCATAGATGACACATAACTGGATAATGTGTCAGAAAATTCTTCTTCATCATTAATCATGCTCATTTCCTCTGAATTACCTACGCAATTATCCATTAACTTTTACAATTTTAAAAATACTAGTTTTAACTTTCACAGATTGTAGTCATGGACTCTGAAATGTGAATTTCACGGAAAAGCACATTTTTCCTATTTTGTAGTTTTTAAAACTAAAGATTTGTTTTTATTTACTTGAAAGGCTGAGTTCCAATAAGAGAAGCAAAATGAGAGAGAGATCTCCCATTCATTGGTTCATTCCCCAAATAGCCACAACAGCCAGGCCAGTCATAGCCAGGAGTCTCTTCCAGATCTCTCAAATGGATGAAGACATGCAAGCACTTGGGCCACTTTCACTGCCTTCCCAGGCACTTCCCAGAGAGCTAGAAGGGAAGTGCAGCAGCCAAGACTTGAACAGGTGCCAAAATAGGATGCTGGTGTTGTGCCAGCTTTATAACACTATATTATATTGTTAAAACTCTGATTTCCAAACATCATTTTTTCAAAGATTTATTTATTTTTATTGGAATGTCAGATGTACAGAAACGAGGAGAGACAGAGAGGAAGATCTTTCATCAGCTGACATGGCTACAACAGCTGGGGCTGAGCTGGTCCAAGCCAGGAGCTTATTCCAGGTCTCCCATGTGGATGCAGAGGCCCAAGACTTTGGGCTGTCCTCAACCGTTTACCCAGGCCACAGGCAAGCAGCTGGATGGCAAGCGGGGCTGCTGGAATAAAAACTGGTGCCCGTATGGAATCTCAGCAAATAGAAGGCAAGGACTTTAGCCACTATGCTATCGTGCCAGGCCTTCCAAACATCTTTATACACATTCCCACTAATATTTTTAAAATCCACCCATAGCAGATTAGTGTGTTAATGGGCTCCCACCAGTGGGTTTGTTATAAATGCCCATGATCTTGGAACTCTAGAGAACATCGACCAGGAAGGAGTACCCTCACATAATTCAGGCTAGCAACCATGGACTTCCTACAATCCAGAGTACAAGCTAAAAATAATCCTTATATAATCCCCATACACCTTATAAATTAGTGAATCTGAAGTATTCACAGAACAACAACAACAAAAGAAAAAACACTAGAAATGGACTGAGGGTCAAGTGCAATTGTCCAGGTTTTCATCTGGACAATGGTTCATTCCCTAGCTGCTCCAGCTCCCATCCAGCTCCCTGCCTGCGGCCTGAGAAAAGTAGTCAAGGACAGCTCAAAGCCTTGGGACCCAGCACCCATGTAGAAGACGCAGAAGAAGCTCCTGGCTCCAGGCTTTGGACTTGCTCAGCTCTGGCCCTTGTGGCCACTTGGTGAATGAACAAGCAGAAGGAAGACCTTTTTCTCTGTCTTTCCTTCTTTCCTGAAAATCCGTCTTTCCAATAAAAGTAAATAAATCTTAAAAAAAAAAAAACTAAGGCAGTCTCCAAAAAGGCACTATCGTTTAGCCTTAACAAAAAACACTTCCTGAAGAATCAAGATGGCAGAATAGGGTAAGGACACGTTTAAACAGATGGGGAGAAACATTTAATCTGGATGAAGCAGAGAAGACATATTTCAGGAAATAGGAAAGGACAGAACAACAGCAGAGGGGTACCTGGAAGCTGACAGACACAGGAAAGCAGCAGGCACAGCAGTTGGTGTTGCAGTGACCGATATCCAGCACGGCATTCGGCTAACGGCAATCTGAACTCCACCTGCAGCCGGAACTTCACCAGCAACCAGGTGGGAAGGGACTTTCACTGGAAGCTTGGGAGGTGAATCCAGACAAAGAACTGTCCGTCCTGCTGGTCCGTTTGATTTGACCAGGAGCAGAGACAGAGCAGCAAATTGCAAATGGGCAGTGCGAGAACAGAGTGAATTTCATAGCCCAGTCAGCCCCTAGAGCTGAATTGGGTGCCATTTTGTGTAAGGAGGAAAAGGGCAAGGGAAGGGCAAGGGAAAGGACAGAGCATGTGCTAGCTGGGAGTGAGCTCATTTCTGACTTGGTGAACTGCAATGACGCAACATTCTACGGATTCCATCCGGGGCAGGTCTGGGTAGCCCTAAGACCTGATGGCAAGCTGATCAAGAACTGTAGTGGTGGTACGTTCGGGCGCCATTTTGCACACTGTGACAATAGCTTTGGGACTGCAAGGAACAAGAAACTGCGCATGTGCTGAACTCACGAGAACTCACTGAGGTCACACAGGAAAATAATAGACTGTGGCATAGTATGTATCAAAATAGGTCCGTGTGGCACCCAGACCTAACGTCCAACATGTTTCGACAAGATCAGCGCCACCAACAACCTAACTAGGATAGGACACCTGGTGTCTCTCTAATCCTGGGACCTGCTCGAACCGGAAGTGGGAGAAAGGTTGCAGAGACAATGGTGTAGCCTCAGCACGGTATCACAGGAGGTAGAGAGTGGTGAGCCAGGAGCAGGGACTGTGGAAAGCATGGTGGAAATCTGACATAAGAACCCAGACCTGAGGGCCCGGCGCGATGGTGCAGTGGTTAAGGTCCTCACCTTGCACGCCCCAGGATCCCATATGGGCACCGGTTCTAATCCCGGCAGCCCCGCTTCCCATCCAGCTCCCTGCCTGTGGCCTGGGAAAGCAGTCGAGGACAGCCCAAAGCTTTGGGACCCTGCACCCGCGTGGGAGACCCAGAAGAAGTTCCTGGCTCCTGGCTTTGGATCAGCATAACATTGTCCGTTGCGCTCACTTGGGGAGTGAATCATCGGAGGGAAGATCTTCCTCTCTGTCTCTCCTCCTCTCTGTATATTGACTTTGTAATAAAAATAAATAAATCTTAAAAAAAATACACTACATGTATTACAAAGATATGAAACTATATGGAATATATATATATATACATACACACACACACACAAAAAAAACTGTATACACAAACGTATCAAAAAATGTTATTTGGGTTTTACATAGAGAAAAATTTCAGAAATGATACTTTACAATCTGCTAATGTCATCTTCTCAGCAAGCATTTAAAATTGCCATGTTTAAATTTTGTATACCAAAAATCTTTTTAAATAAAAATCAGAATTTTTATAAATTAGTATTTTAAACATACAAATAAGATTTCAGAACCCCTTGTCTTCATAAGGTTTAAAGACTCCTGTTACTTGTACAATGTAAGCACTAGTTTTCTTTTTTTTTTTTAAAGCACTAGTTTTCTAAGAAACTTCAAATATTTTCTCAAATGGAAAAAACACAAAAATCTTCTAATATAGCTGAAACGACCTAAATTTATAAAAGATCAATATGTACATTACATTTATATTATTAATTCCATCACATACTGAAATACCGCCATACCTCTTTAATTTGCCGAAGCAAAGCACTTTTGTTTATAACTTCTTCTTTCTCTTGGGTGGGTGACAACCGTAAATATTCTCTTGATCTATTCGGTTTAATGTTCATCTTTGCATACAGTTTTTCCTGAAGATTGGCAAACAACACATTCAAGGTTCGTGGAAGAATTCCAATGTTTTCCTCTGTACCTGCAATAATAATTTTTGTGTAATAGTCTCTCAGAGCACTGGTAGGAAAAAGGTAACACAGAATGTCAAGATTTTTATACTACCGTTAATAAAGAGAATAGCTAAAACAAGAAACATGATGAATGATCACTTTTCTATCACTTTGGTCTTCACCATAAAACCTAAAGTTCTATATTCAGATTTGGCCATAGCATTAATATTTGGAATCACTAATCATAAAGCATAAAAGTAATATAAATATGTTTCCCTGGCCAGCCATGCATAATTGCTTGAATTCCATCTATGTTTTTTCTGGACTTTTATTCATCATCTTACTCTATACCATACTGAGAATATAGTTTTTTATCTAATTAAATAAATTTGAATCAAAATATATCACACATATATATTCAATATGCTAGATGAATACTAAATGATAGAAATATAATTATATTAAAGTTTTATGAGAACACTGAGCTAATATTATTTCACTTCTTTCCAACCAAAATAAAACAATATTTACCTCGAAATGTGTATGTTTTTCCAGAATTGGTTAAGCCATAGGTGAAAATTAGACGACTTTGTCCTTTCAATAGGTCTCTTACTGGTTGCATAATACAACCATGAAAGAATTCCTTCTGTGTAGTTTCTGGGCCAAAAACCTAAGAAAGAATTTGTAAGACAGGTCATTTTACAAAATCCAAATTGGTGTAGGGCTGGCACAATGCCTAAACTAGAGGTCTTCCACCTCTAAGTGTGGCATCCCATATGGGCACCAGTTCTTATCCCGGCTGCCCCACTTCCCATCCAGCTCCTTGATTCTGTCCTGGAATAGTGGAGGATAGCTCAAGTGTTTGGAACACTGCACCTGTATGTGAAATCTGGAAGCTTCTGATTACTGGCTTCAGATCGGCTCAAGCTCTGGCTGTGGCAGCCATTTGGGTAGTGAACCAGAAGACCTTTCTCTGTCTCTCCTTCACTCTGTAAAATTTGCCTTTACAATAAAAGTAAGTAAATGCATTTTTTAAATCAAGTTGATGTTCATTGTAAGATCTAGTAAGACCTACTCTGTTGCTCATCTTTCAAAAATTTGTTTTTATCAGATTCATTCTTAAAACAGGTGCCACATATCTACTCTCAAACATCAGAATATGTTCAAGATAAAAATATGACCCAAACAGCAAAGCAAGTTTTCATCTTAATCTTGAAAAGGACATTTAGCTGAGGGGTAGTTAAAGTGGTACCATTCTGGCACAGCAAATTAATATACCATCTGTAATACCAGCAATCCCCATCAGGCACTTCAAGTCCCAGCTGCTCTGCTTCCTGTCCCACCCACTCATTATTATTGTACCTGAAAAAAGCGTCGGAAGATGACCCAAGTGCTGGGGCCTCTGCCAACCATGTGAGAAAACCAGATTGATTTTTCTGGCTCCTAGTTCCAGGTTGGTTCAGGCTATTAAAATCATTTTCAAAATGTGCCAACAGAACAAAGGTCATCTCTCTTTTTCGTGTTTCTAAAACTGATTTTCATGTGAATAAATCTCTTTTTAAAAATGGAATTTTAAGAGCAGTAAAATGGTTTGTTCCCTTTCGATTCTATTACCTCAGACCAGAAATTTCAGACCTACTTTTTATGAAAAAATACCAGTAACTAAGATCTAAGCTGCATAAACAGGATTCATTATATATATTTATATAGGAATTCGACATAAGCAAAGTCTCTCACCTCCCTTTTTGTTTTGAATATTGAACCAAAGTTGAATTACAAGAAACAATGGAGAGTACTCCTGACAGACCAGGCAGTCATCATAAGAAAGAGCCTGGTCTACAGTCTACATCCAGCTTGGAGTTTGTTTGAATTTGGTTATGGGTCTCCCTCATCTCTGTCTAGGAGTCTCATTGGGTTTTCCTGAGTGTAGAATTCCTAAAACTCTTCCCAGAACTTCATAATAGCCCTTCTCGTACAAGGTAGACACAAATCTCTTTCCTTTTAAAATAATACAGTAAAAGTTGAGTTTCACAGAGACACTTACCTTGGAAAAACTGAATTTTTGTGCCATCAGCCCAGAGCTTTTTTCACTTAAGTGACCTAGGATGCTTTGAGGCTCTTTCAAGAGAACACTGTGTGAATCCAGAATTTGCACACAGCCCTAGAACACATCACAACCATAAATAAGAACAATGGCATTTTACATGTTTAAAAAGTAAATTAAAGTTCAATTAAATGTAACACAAACATTCCAGCTGTAAGCAAATTCCTAGGTTGTCTTATACCTAGGCAAGTGTTACAAATCTAGGAGAACAGTCAATAGCTGGTTGGCATTCTGGGACTGGTCAATGCCAAGATTCTGTCAATGACACCACTGTGCTAGCATAGTTGCCTATTCTGTTTCTTTTTTGTTTGTTTTATTGTTTTGTTTTGTTTTTAAGAAACATGGGGGATACAGGGCCCCTAGTCACAGCACCATGCAGCAGGGGTGATAGATTTTCTAGGAAAAAATATCTGGTGATTTATTTGGGAACAGCTGAGGGTATGTTCAACAGGGAAGTAATGACTTCTAGGGACTTCCACAGACTAGGCCACTGCACTTGCAGGTAGGTGAGGGAACCAACACAGAGTGATTCAGAGTGGAAAAACTGGAGGCATGCTGGGGCCAGACAAGGCAACCGCCCAAATGGGAGACCTGGGCCAGACTAAATAGCATGAATTAATAATGGTTTCCTTTGAAGAAAAATGATTATAGTATCTTATAAAATTATCTTTAAGAGCACCTGGTCTACCATGAAGAAAAAATTAATTAGTTGAAAATCTGTGTATGCCAGCTTACTCATGAGGTTAAAAATAGAACAATCAAACGTTTGGGCAGAAGTTTGTGATGTGTCTGATAGAATCAAAAAGAGCTTCTTGAGCTGTCAGTAGAGGACATCAAGTGACTGTCCTGTCTCTTTTCCTCGCTGTATCCACACACCGTCTTGAGGTCCAGACTCAGCTAGAGCTGGCCTCTGGCACTCAATCCTCATGCAGCAAAGCCGAAATGTTCCAGAATTATCAAAGGCACTCAAGTGGGCCCAGCATGATGTCTCAGTGGCTAAATCCTCACCTCACATTCATTGAGATTCCATATGAGTGCCAGTTCTCACCCCAGCTGTTCTACTTCCCTCCCAACTCCCTGCTTGTGGCCTGGGAAAGCAAAAAAGGATGGCCCAAGTTCTTAGGACCCTGCACCATGTGGAAGACCCAGAAGAAACTCCTGGCTTCAGATCAGCTCAGCTCCAGCCATGGTGGCCATTTAGGGAGTGAGCCAGTAAAAGGAAGATCTTTCTATCTGTTTCTCCTTCTCTCTGTAAATCTGACTTTCCAATAAAATTTTAAAAATGTAGTTTGACCAAAAAAGGAGCGGTGTCTCCCCTTTTCCCTAGCGGAAAAAAAAAAATGTAATACAAACCTCTGATTCATGTTCTTTCTCTGACTGTGTGAATGGTCTTATTCGAAGACAAACCTGGAGATAATCTTTTGATTCCAAGTTGTTTACCTTGAAAAAAAAAAAAGAACAATATTTTGTGTTTTATTTATTTTTATTTATTTAAAAAGCAGAGTGACAGAAAGAGAATGAGAGAATTTTGCATTTGCTGGTTCACAGCCAAAACAACCTCACAACAGTCAGGGCAGAATTAGGCCAAAGTCAGAAAACAGAAACTCTATCTGGATCTCAGATACGGGTGGCAAAGAACCAAGTATGTAAGCCACTTCTGCCGCACATTAGCAGGGAGCTGGAATCAGCCATGGAGCAAGGACTCAATCCTGTGTACTCCAATGCAGAATACAGGCATCACAAACGTATTTTAAACCAAAAATGTAGTCGACACTGTTAACAAAGTCATCCAAACAACTTAATGAAGGGCTGGCATTTTGGCATAGTGGGTGAAGCTATGGTCTGCAATGCCAACATCCCACATGGACAGCGATTCAAGTCCCATCTGCTCTATTTCCAATCCAGCTCCCTGCTAAAGCAGCAGAGGATGGCAGAGGTAACTGGGCTCCTACACACACACGGGAACCCAGATGAAACTTCAGACTCCTGGCTCCTGCCTGACCCAATACTGGGGAATAGGTTAGAAAATTGAAGACCTTTCTCTCTCTGTCTCTCTTTCTTCCTCTGTAACTCTACCTTTCAAATAAATAAGCTTTACAAACAACTTAATGAGGAAATGAAAGCTTTTACAGTATATGTAAGTGATACCAAAACAGATGAGTGTTCAAAACCTGAAAAAAAAAACGAAAAAAGAATAGCAACCTAGATCCCTGGGCTCATCTATCAACTCACATAAACATTCTAAGATGACTCCCAGATAGAACCATGGGGGGAAAAAAAACAAAATCTCTGCCTAATTTTTGCTCAAAGTATTTAAGACAAAGTGAATGCCTAGGTCCACAGAGAGGCCTGCCAAAGAATGCTTAAAGCAACGTTATTTGTAATGGTCCAAAACCAAAACCACCTAAGTGTCAATGAATCCTAAATGCAAACGTGGCACTTATGCACAAGAACTATTACAAAGAAAGACAAAAGCAACAAACTACTAACCTACCATGTATGATGACCCAAAAACAGATCATTAATATTTTAGGCTCTATAGACCCGATAGCCTCTGCCACAACTATTGAACAATACAGTGCAAAATACAAAAAATATGTACACCAGTGAGTTTAGCTTTGTAGGAGGACATTGTGACCCTAGAGGGTCAGCAAGCACAGGATTACAGCTGATTGGATAATATTTGCATGAGAACAACCGATTGGCTACCTTTTGTATACCTGATTGGATATTATTTGTATAAGAACAGTTGAATGGGCAGTATGTGTGTGAGAACACTTGGTGCAATATACAAGACAAAAGGAGTTCCAAACAAAAACATAAAACTGTTACTGGGTTTTGTTGATGAGCTCAATACTTCCTCCCTTAGCCCATATGACCCTCAGTGTATAAAGTCTGATGCCACTAATAAACTTCGGGTTTGAGCATCTGTCAGGGTCCACGTGTGCACCAAGTCCATCGCTGCGGGATGACGACATAGCATGACACAACAGAACTTTAATTATAGGCAGGTAAATGTCATATAATTTTCAAGTCATTAAACATTCTTTTATCCACAACTATTTAAAAATGTAAAAACCATTCCTAGCTTGTGAACGAATTCAAAAAATAAGCACTAAAAGGAGAGGTAATTATTTGCAAATCATTCTGCTAAATGAATGAAGGCAGACACAAGCAAGTATGTAATAGTTTCAATTATATACTAAAAGCACATGTTACAGAGTTCCTTTCCTCTGCTTTATATTCATTTATGGCAAATAAGCTAAAGTGTCAAAATACTTAAACCTGAAACATCACAAATACTAAATGAGTATTTTTCTTTTTTTAAAGATTTATTTTATATTTATTGGAAAGTCAGATAAACAGAACGACAGCAAAGGCCAGAGCTGAGCAAATCTGAAGCCAGGTCTCCCACACAGGTGCAGGGTCCCAAGGCTGTAGTCTGTCCTCAACTGCTTTCCCAGGCCACAAGGAGGGAGCTGGATGGGAAGTGGGTCAGCTGGGACACGATCTGGTGTCCACATGAGATCCTGGTATGTGCAAGGCAAGGACTTTAACCGCTAGGCTACTGTGCTAGGCCCAGTATTATTATTTTATCTGTGTGTCTTAACTTCCATTGTGCTACTCTATAAAATGGGTCAGTTCAAGGGGCTAGCAAAGTAGTATAGCAGGCTAATTCAACATCCCATATGGGCACAGGTTCGAGTTCTGACTGCTCCACTTCCAATCCAGCTCCCTGCTAATGGCCTGGGGAAGCAGCAGAGGAGGACCTTAAGCCTTGAGTTTCTGCATCCACATACAAGAACCGGAAGGAGCTCCTGGCTCCCAGCTTCAGATCAGCTCAGCTTTGGCAACTGAAGCCATCTGGAGAATGAACCAGCAGATTAAAATCTCTCTCTCCCTCTCTCTTTGTAACTCTTGAATTTCAAGGAGAAATAAATAATAAATGTTAAAAAAAAAAGAGTAAGTTCATATTTAAGAAATCAAAATTAATAACTTAAAATGTAATAAATACAATATAAAGTCATTCAAAGTATATATTCAAGAATGTCCATAAGCTAGGTAAGACAGCAGAAGGACTCGACCTCTTAGTTTAAATACTACTGAGTTACTTAATTTGTTAAAATCTCTATTGTTGTGAAAATTAAGGGACATAACTCCTGGGGGCAGGGCAGAATACAGAAGCACCTGTGTAGAAGACAGATTTTTTGAAAAAACTATGCATAAATTTCAAAATGCTATTGAACTAAAATAAACCTCATCTTTAATTCCATTTTCCTACGAACTTTGACATCCCCATAGTTCACATTTTGAAGGGAATCACAGCAATGCTTGCCATGCCGGTAATCACGAATGGCTAAGCAGGTACAGTTCCACTTTATATCATATTTCCCTCTTGGTTTGGTCATATCTGTGATAACGGCATCTTTCAGTGACTGCCCATGATAAACAAGCTTAGCACTATTTCAAAACAGTGAAAATCAGCAAATGAGGGTGGTTGAAGTCTAGTTGGATTGCAAGGTTTAAGAAGTTGTAGAATGCCCAATAAGCACCTATCTCATCAATAACACTGCTAGAGGGTCATGAAAGGGTAAAATATTCAAAAATTTTCTTTTCATATTATTTGCCTAAACTGGCTACTAGGTTAAGGCAAAGATACTTACTAAGTTGTTAAGACTGTTTTGAAAAGGGATGCCTAATAATTTTTGCAGCTCACAGCTTCCATAACAAAGTTACTGATACATCACTGCCCCAGAGAGTTTGGGTATCTCTTCTAGGTACAGTAAAAAATGTACCTACACATACACATTTCCATTCAATCAAATAATCTTCACAATACTTTTCTTACACTTACCTCAGTCTTTGAAGCAACTAAGGAAAACTCATGAGAGAGATCAAGCTTGATACCATCAAAATTTATTTCTGAAGGTCTTGCAATTGGGTCAGCACTAAAAACATAAGATGGCCTAGGCACTCCATCTTGATTCAAATTAGACTCCATTCTGTAAGAATAACCATATTTTTTAAGACAACTTTAATAAATAACAATGTAAGCCACTCTAACTTTAAAAAGCCTAAGTGTTCAGCCTACTACTTCACTCCATTTCAAACAACCAGATTTCAGGCAGGGAGAATCTTAGTCTATTTTATTGACATTACAATGACCTATGGAAAAGAGAAAAAAAAAAAAATCACACTACATTTATGGATTCTGAGTCTAATAATACTAGACACGGCCTAATACTTTTTATCAGACTCAAACGTTGAACAGATTCATCCAACAAGATTTGGTCAGTAAAGGTCATCTGTGAAGTAAGGCAGCATAAAATAATCCCATCTTCCCTAACATCTTCTCAGAGAGTAAGTAGTAGGAAGATGAAAGAATAAAGTTAAACTCTGTGTCTTTTAAGATTCATTTATTTTTATTGGAAAGTCAGATATAGAGAGGAAGAGAGACAGAGAGGAAGCTCTTCTTCCCGTTGATTCACTCCCCAAGTGAGCGCAACAGCTGGTGCTGCACGGATCTAATGCCAACAGCCAGGAACTTCCTCCAGATCTCCCACACGGGTGCAGGGTCCCAAGGCTTTGGGCCGTCCTTGAGTGCTTTCCCAGGCCACAAGCAGGGAGCTGGATGGGAAGTGGCGCTGCCAGGATTAGAATCCGGTGCCCATATGGGATCCCAGCATGTTCAAGGCGAGGACTTTAACTGCGAGGCTACCACATAGGGCCCTCTGTGTCGTTTTAATTACTTAGCATCTTGCAAACACTGATAAGGTCTAGACTTTGTCTTCGCATTGGAACTCAGTTACCTAGAATATTACTTTCAATTTAAAAAGTAAAATATGAAATAATGCCTCAGTGAACTATTATAAGTGAATGAAACATCAGATTAAATGTAAAGGGAAGCTGAAGGGTGATCTTACTAAGATATATTAATACTCAAAAAATTCAGAGACTCTACCAGGTGCCAAACACCAAGAAGGCGAGCACTCAGTGCGCTGCCCTTTAACAAGACGATAAGACATCCAGAACAGCAGCTCTCAAACTGGGATTCCTGGCTTCAGGAAGTAGTTCAAAAGTCTGTTAGGTAGACAAAGCTTGGTGATGTCAGCACAGACAGTCCAAGAAACTGTGGCATTGAGTGTGCTGAACCCAGACAAATAACAGTATACACACAGTCAAATTTTAAGAGAAAAGTTCTTTCTTTAGGCTTCAAACACTGTTACATGGATCAATTGGCTAATCTACCATCAAGTTCCAAGATTCCATATTGGTACTGGTTCATGTCCCAGCTGCTCCAACTCCCACCCAGCTCCCTCTTTGTGACCTGAGAGCGCAGTGGAGGATAGCCCAAAGTTTTGAGACCCTGCACTCACGTGGGAGACCCAGAAGAGGCTCCTGGCTTCAGATCAGCTCAGCTCTAGCTGTTGAGGCCAATTGGAGTGTGAACCAGTGGATGGACGATCTTTCTGTCTCTCCGCCTTTTCAATAAAAATAAATAAATCTTTAAAAAGGAAAAAAAAAAAAAAAAGAAAGAAAACACCAGTTACAGATGTATAAGCTATAGCAAAACTAAAAATCTGTTGCAAAGTTATTGGGGGGAGGGGCAAAAACTGCATTGCAGCACCAAATTCAAATATACATCCATCCATTTGCTTTAAATACAGCCCAGAGACACATTACCCATTTAGAGTCAACCTGACATGCACATCCCATGAAACTACATTCAACACCTGCTAAGCACAAAGAACACCTGGGACAAGCAGGACCTCAGGCTACTGCAGGCTTTCCAAGGTATACGACCCGGAAGCCACCAAGCACTAGGAAGAGCAGCAATGCCACTTAGACAAATAAGTTCTTCACTAGTTTTTCTCCTTCTCTCTTAATTTTCTCTGCCTCTGATCCCCTTAGATGGAAGCCCCTAACCACTCCTAAGGCAAGGCCGACAACGAGGGGCTGCCGCAACAGGTAATTCTGCCAAAGCACTGTCCAAATAAAGCTTGTTGTTCGCCACCGCCACACAACCCCACATTTCTGCTTGACCCCTGAAATTATCAAACTGTCACAGCACCGCTGGTTTTCCTCCTGAATAATAAATCAGGCTAAAGAAGCCACACATTTGCTTTTGACAGGCCCACGTAAACAGCAAAACTAACTATATAATTCAACATGTTTTATATCTTTCATGCTTAAACTATTGATAGACTGTTCCAAACAGGCAATGTATGGGTGAAAATTAATAAAAGTGGCACAGTAGCAGATACTGTGGCATCGTGGAGTTAAGCAGCTTCTTGGTAAGCCCATATGCCACATTCTAGTTCTTGGATTCCTGCCTCTCTTCTAGCAGAACCAGACAAAGTTCCTAGCTCTTAGCTCCAGCCTGGCTATCATGGGCAGTTGGAAAGCAAACCAAAAGAAATGAAAGATCTTTCTCTTTCTGTCACTGTGCCATTCAAAAAAAGAAAAATTTCAGTATAGTGAAGACTAATCACCACTGTGAAACACAGGAGAAAAGTTTGCTAAAAGCATGAGAGTACTAACTCACTAGTTCACATTGTGTACTTTCTGCAAACACCTGCAACACGGAAGGTAACCTCGACTCTGGCTTCCACGAATGGTGCTGATTTTAAGGTACTGACAAAATGTTCGTTAAAAATAGTTCTGTCTCCCCCAAAAATGCTGTAATAAGGCAGTTTGTATTTGTTCACATGCTCATTTTCATTGAATAAACAACGCCCTAATATATCTAAAACTGCTCAGATATGTGTCATTTCTTACATCTCAGAAGGCTTAGGTGAGTGGCCTTTCTGACTGGATGACACCTTAAGACAAGGACTTTGCAACAAAGTCACAGGCTTACAAGACAAAGATTCTCTGTCCAGCAGAGAAAAAATGGTTAAAAAACAAACAAACAAACAAAAAAAACCCACAAAATTCCTTTGCAGGAAGGAAAAAAAAGAAGATCGTATTCAAGTGCCAGCAGGATTCAAGATCTCATTTCTCATTGGAAAGAACAGTCTCATGACTGTAAAACTCCAGCTTCTCTCCCGCAAGCTCCTGTGACTGAAGACTTGAATGAAAAACCAGAGTCTGCCCTTGAATGGGGCTTCTGAATGTGATGCACAATATGTAACCTCAAAAAATGTATGCTAATTCTATACTGCAATAATACTACATATTATAATATTAATTATATCATATATTAACATTTTATCGCTTGGTACCTTGGAACGTGGGGTCTAGGAAATGGAACACATCATACGCATGCTGCCACGCTACTCCTGGATAAACTGCCTAAGCATGTTCCCTTCTCAACAAAGTTCGATGAAGCTTAAGCAGAGACTTCAAAAGACAACTCATAGGGCAACAACGTGTGTCCAACGAGTCGGTTACCAAGGAGGCAACCAAGAAACAGGACTAGGAAGAGGTGGGGTGTAGCCTACCCTGAAGGGCTCCCGTGATCACGGGCACACGGACCCACCCCCTGCGCCTGGCACCAAGCCCTGCCACATGGGAACCCAGCCCCTGCGCCTGGCACCAAGCCCTGCCAGGATCCCATGGCCATCAATCAGGACGAGAAAGCGGCCAGCTCAGGCACACTGCTCAGCTGAGGGAAGTAGGCCGGGCACCAGCGCCTCGCCAACAACAACAACGACAGCACTGTCATTCGTAACTGGCCACAGTCCCCCTGCGTGCCAACAGGGTGGCACGAGACCATTCAATCCAGACAAGGGTCCCAAGTGGGCACCAGGAGGACACTGAGGCCTAAGAAGATGAGGCGAACCCTTATGTGCCACTCAGGGTGGAGATCACCCAAGTGAAATGGCTTGATTCTCGCCGAGCCGTTCTCAACCGAGTTCCTGACACACGGCCGTTCCCTCACCCCAGGCCCGGTACCTGACCCAGTCGCTGCCCCCTCGTTCCCCAGCCTCGACCGCGTATCACTTCACCTTCTATCATCACCAGAGCAGACAGAACCGTAAACACCAGCGCGATGCTAAATTCAAAGAATGGCGGCCCGAGCAGCGCACTGCACGCCGGGAGTGGGCGGGGCTTCCGGAACGCCTCCGGTTCTCCAGCAGGCTCCCCCAGCGGCTCGCTCCAGAAGCTTTCAAATCTAGGGGCGGGACGTGGGCCTCGAGGCGACCAATGCGCGCAGGAGGGCGGGACGTGGGCCTCGAGGCGACCAATGCGCGCAGGCGGGCGGGCTCGTGGGCGGGCCCCGGGTGCGGAGCTCGTCGTTTCCTTCAGGGCTCCCGGCTGCGGGAGGAGACAGCCTGCCTGTGAGCTCCTTGGAGACAGGCCGGCGAGGCTGCGGCCCTCGCACCGGGCTCCGCAAGGACTGACTGCTGACTGGCCGGCTAGCTCTCCTCCCGGCCTGTCCCTGCGAGCCCCGGTCGCAAACCACTTCCCTCGGCCTGCGTGGGTGAAAACAAATTTCACCCAGAATGGATTTCTAGGAGTGGTTTTGTTTTGTTTACGGAAATAAGGCAGCCGCAATAATTTTTTCATGAAACAAGGTCTTGGCAGTGTCCAGAATGTAATTGCCAGTGCTTCGTTCACAGTGACGCTCCTTAAGCGAGTAGAGTTTTAAACACATTCTTAGGACGGTTACTTACCACTCAGCTGAGGTTTCTTTGGGCCTCAGTTCATTTTAAAAGACTGAACTGCTGACTTGAATGGAGCCTTGACCTTGTGCCAGTCGTGATGCAGTATCTGACATGGATTTTTTCCCTGAGCCCCAGAGCATCCCTTTGAGGTAGGCACTCTGTACTTATCCCATTGTGTCGATTCTGACTGAGGACGCTGAGCTTGCAGCCTTAAGTCATGTGCTCAGAGGTCAGCGGAGTTTAGATTTAAACGCAGCTGGCTTTTGCATCCATCCTCCTACATGGGACCTTATTTTCAATTGTTTTAACCTGATTGGAAGCATCTTGTAACATCTGATTCCATGAGCTTGCTGTCTTCTTTATCATTCTCTGTGCCTCTTTCTTTTGCCCTACCCCTGCGCTTATTTATAATCTCTTTCAGTTTACCTTCTTTTCCTGGAAAATAACTAAATGTAAAGTGAGCCAGGTTGGAGTAGAGAAGAGGATGCAGGACAACGAGTAAAAATGAACAAAAAAGTAGATGTGAAAGGGTAGGAGTGGGGGGAGATAAGTGAATCCTAAATTTTTCCATCT